TATATATATATATATATATATATATATTGATGATAACATATACATATTAGCTATTACTGATATATAAAACCCTAACTTTGCATATTCCAAATCAAAATAAAAAGATACCATCCATTATTTTCATAAAGAAAGTTTAAAAGTTTGTATCTTTCACTCATTCAAAATTCAAAATCATTCAAATTCAATTTATTTCAAAACTTTGTGAACGTGATAAAACTTAAAAAGTACAAAAAATAGGTGAGGAAAATATATTATATATTATGTATATTCACGGGAAAAGACATAATTTATTTATTTTGTTAAATATGGTGAGTATATGATAAAGGCATCGGTGAAGCATTAGCTGGCACAAGGTTGTATATGAATCCAGCCGCCAAAAAGATAGGAAAAGCATTTCTTTTTCCGCAATCTCTCTCCCCATTTTTTCAAATTTGCCCGTTTCTGCGATCCGGGTTCATCAGATTCTCAAGCTTCGGTTCGAATTCGATTAGGGTTTCGCGAGCGAGTGAGAAAGGTTTCGTCTTTTAGGGTTCTCGTGAAATGGCGTTGATTTGAGAGAGGAGGAAGAAGGTTCTGAGTTGGGACTGAGAGATTTTAGGGTTTTCCGGATCCGGCGAAGATGAGCGCGTCGAGGTTCATAAAGTGCGTCACCGTCGGCGATGGCGCCGTCGGGAAAACCTGCATGCTGATTTCTTACACCAGCAACACTTTCCCGACGGTAATATATATTTTTTGTTTCTTCCCTAATTTCGCTGTCTTGTTCTTGTTGCTGAAGAAGTAGATGAATGATGATCCGGAAGTTTTCTGTCAAATTTGGTTCTGTAAATACGATGTTTTGGTCTTCGGATTTATCCGTTTGTATTGGTTTGAACCTGTTTGTTTCTAAAAATGGCATATTTCCCAGGAATTTCAGGCTCCATCATCTGCAATGTTCTTTCTAACTCTTTGTAAATTCGTCGTAAATATGGTTTAAACTAGTTTCTAGAATTGGTGTTTGTCTTCATGTACGAGAATCTTGGCAACGTATTGTTGCTTTGCATTGAATTCTGCATAATTCGGATTCAGAACATTTCCAGTGAGCTGATCTTGAACTCAAATCTTCATGTTTAATTCTCTTCCCTGTATGAGTAATCAATTCTTTAAGGGAAGGTACACTTTGTTAATCAACATTGCATATATAATATATATCATTAGTCATTGCTTATTCTGAAAGTTGCGTTTGGTGGGCAGGACTATGTTCCAACTGTTTTCGACAACTTCAGTGCAAATGTGGTTGTAGATGGGAACACTGTCAATCTCGGATTGTGGGATACAGCCGGTAATTCATCTGAAACCCTTTTCGGATTTATCCCCGAAATTTTCTTGTTTCGGGTTTAAGTGACTTTTTTCCCCTGAGCAGGTCAGGAAGACTACAACAGGTTACGGCCTTTGAGCTATCGGGGTGCGGATGTCTTCATTCTTGCTTTTTCACTTATCAGCAAGGCCAGTTATGAGAACGTGGCCAAGAAGGTATTGCTTCTGTTAGAAAATTTTCTCCATGTGATTATGCTGAATAGAATCACCTAGCTAATTTGTTTTTCATTTTTTAAAATGCGGTTCATCTCAGTGGATTCCCGAGCTCAGGCATTATGCTCCTGGTGTTCCAGTTATCCTCGTTGGAACAAAACTCGGTAATTGTCATTGTCTCTTCTCAGGAAATCTTCCCTGATAATAGAAAATAGATTATAGGGAGCTTCAGCAAACAAGTCATCTTTGATCTGCCATTGTTGTTTGTTCTTCACTCGAAGCAAGTCAACTCATTGTTCTTGAAGAATTTTGATCATTGAAGGAGATTGTCATTTTTTGGTTTCCAAATTTTGGTAAATGCAGATCTCCGAGATGACAAGCAGTTCTTCATAGACCATCCAGGCGCGGTGCCAATCACTACAAGCCAGGTACTCAGAAATCCACTTCCAATATTCTTTTTGACTGGTCGGTTCTCAATTTAATAGTTATATGCCCTTTCTTCGAATAACAAAGGGTGAGGAATTAAGGAAACTGATTGGAGCTCCGGTCTACATCGAATGCAGTTCAAAAACACAACAGGTACATACAAATAACACACATTTCCCCGTTGTTGCATCGGATATATTTTTTTTTTTGTAAAAGACCGCTTCTTCATGAAAAATATGCGAATGCAGAACGTGAAGGGGGTGTTTGATGCGGCCATAAAGGTTGTGCTTCAGCCTCCGAAGCAGAAGAAGAAGAATAAAAAGAACAAGAACCGTTGCTCCTTCTTGTGATTGCTTAAAGAATAGGTAAACGAAAAGAGAAAAACGCCCTTTTTTTATCGGGTATTAGTCCATACCCATTTTTACATATCATCGATGGCATGAAGGAGACGATTTGAGGAGCTTTTTTGTATAGCTGTGTTCGGGTTTTTTCTGTTTCACGAGATGAAGAAGCTGAAGTGTTTAACGAGTCTGAGCATTGTGTAACCCTCTGGCGATGCATGAGCTAAAGTGTGATCCTTAAGACGAGAGAAGGGATGAATTCTTGGTGGTGTCACTGTCTTGTAGAACTAATCTCCCTTTTGTTTTTCCCCTGTTGTTGCCGGAGATGGATTTATTTTGTATCCGACACCTTCAATTTGTATTTGTTTGAAGCTTATATTATCTAATTTCTAACATTGCTTCTGCATCAAATTTATATGCTCTCTCAGATCATTTCTTGGCTCTTAGGCATTTTGAGTTTGTGGGTTTGTATTATATCCTTAACGTCCTGTTTCCGGTTATAATGGAAGGATTATTTCAGGATATGTACATTGCCAAAACCGACCAAGATTTTGTCATGTATGAATGCCTGTGTGTGTGTAAACAATTCATAACTAAAATTGCGGAACGTGAAATATATATTTTGGCGGCCAAAATCATTCAAGCCATGAGTTTGGTTTGGTGGTTAGGTTTGAATGTGTTTACAGGGATCCTGTACAAACAAGACAGCATTATGAACAAAAGAGTGATTACAAAGATTTCTCCTTGGGTTATTACACACATAAACCCTAGGTGAAACTCCAAACACCCACCAAATTTATGAAAAAAAAGGAAAAGAAAAAGAAAGAGAACCCCCGTATGCAGCAGCAGATCATTCCCTTTCAAAACTTCCAAAAATCTTAGAAACCCGAAGAACTGATTTAGAACAAGAAAAGGAAGCAAGATCAAGGAGCTTAGCAAGAGATCTTCTTGGATTGATGAGGGAGGAGAAAGCTTTTACCAGTGATTTTAATGGTGTTGTCGAGAGGTAGTAGTAGCCATCACAATCTGATCGGATCATATTTCTCGCCCATCAAACCGCCTTTCTGCTTTTGGAACCTGATGTACCGCAAAGTGCTCATGAAGAAAGGATCAGATGGAGTAGTTGCATTCCCGTTGTCGCTCTGCAACTCGGTGTTGATTAGTTCTATAAGGCTCTGTATCGCAGATGGAGTGATCTGTGGATTTCCTTTCTCGAAGAAGTATATGTACCTGCCAAAAAACCCGGGAAAAATAGCGATGGTACATTGAATGTAACCGTTCGTACGATAAAGTTTAGGAACAATGTGAACGTTTTTTTTCTTAATGGTAAGTAGATTAAGGTGTACCCACTTGTTCAGTATCTCCACAAACAATGTGACTGGTCCATTGCTACCTCTTGCTGCGTTAGCCATTTGCTGAGCTGCGTTGGCTATCCTCAGTGCCCGTTTCAGACAGAGTAGAACCCTGTAATAGAGTAGATGTGCCAAGTAATTAAAAAAAAACATCTTTTCACAGTATCGATTACTTTACTTTGTTTCTTCACATCGAGGCAATGATTCTCATCGCGGGTTTCACAGTATGTTGTTAATTCTCGGGAAAAGTACAAACCTTTCTCCATCTTTGATGCCATCGGGATCGTCGACCCAGAACAAGTGAGAGCAAGCGTAAACTGCCCTACATTGATCAGGTTTCTTCAGAAGCCTTGCCGAGTACTGATCAAGAGGAAAAAAATCAATATGAGAAGAGAGAGAGAGAGAGAGAGAGAGAGAGAGAGGGAAATGGAATGAAATCCATTACCCCGGTTGCTTTATGTGTCAAGGTATCCCTGTTTTCGACACCGAAGACGTGCATCCTTTGCAAAGTTCCAATTATCAGATGAATTGCCGTTATCTGCGCCTTCGAATCCTATAATATAATGCACAATAACATATACAACTAGAAATTATTTCTTATAGAAGTTAAATAGGCTAAGTATAGATTATCTTTATGTAGAGATCACACAGATAAGAATTTGAGACATTACCGCTATTTCTTCCTCGTATAATATGAATGCTTGGGTGAAAAATTCATAAGCAACGGGTTCAAGATCACAATCATTTGCAGCCTGATCATTAAAGGACAAAATAAACTAAAGTTCGAACGAAATGATTTAAGAGTGTGAGTGTCAGATCATAAACACCTATACCTCAGCACACTGGAGGTAGAGCCTAAGAGCAAGTTCAGGACATGGAACGGATGAAAAAGCCTCGATTGTCTGGCAAAATGGACAGGTTGTGAGGGAAAGCTTGCAAATTTATGGGACGGTACGATATAATGATTAAAAAAAAGAAAAAAAGTCGGAAAACCTGATTGAGAATCCGAAAGATTTTCCTGGGAGTTGCTGGAACCTCTTCTCCAGCTATATCTCCATCCTGGCATTGCAATTGCCTTACCAACTGCAGTGACAACATTAGAGTGTAGCTGTTGAAGTTAGCTTCTTTTCTTAAAAGTAGAGAATCCAATCCCAGCTAGATCAAGAACATGAAAAAATGACTGCACTTATGTTCATGCAAAAAAGGGTTAGATGTATTTTTTTACACAGGTAATTTTTGTTTCGTAGATTTTCCAGCAAGCAAATCTACGTGAAGGAGCATATACAAAAGTCTGATGAAGAGTCTACAAGGCATGGACAAAGAAACTCATGTACAGAGAGATGTGTAATGACATTGCTGAAAAAAAAGGAAGAGCATACTCTCAGTGCAGAAAAAACAAGAGGAGGTACGGTAAAAGGCAGACGTCTGGGTCCTCCGGTCATAATGTGCTTTCTCACGACACATATAATCTGCAATATCAATAAATTATTAAGGTTTCTTCACAAGAATCACTTAAGAAGAAACTCTGTAAGCATCGCATGCTTATCAACCAAAAAAATTGGAAGGAAATAACAAGGCTGAAGTAAAATTGCGCACAGTTACTGCATAGCCTGTTAGTATTTTGTTAATGTTTTTACCTTCAGCATTTCCTCTGGTTCTTCATTATAAAGCATATGTATAAGCCGAGCTACAGAATTTTGTTCCTCCTGAAAATCTTCCTCATCAAGCTAGAAGCATAAACAAAAAATCTGAGCGGACCAATATGTCAAATATGAGCCGATACGAGTTGCAAAATGGAAAACAGAAGGGAAAAAAAGGAAAAAAGACAGCACCTCATCTGTGCTTGTTCCATCCAAATCCTTAATAAGCCCGTTTATCAACTCAAATAGCACCTCAACCTAGTGAAGACAAAATATTAGACTCCACTCTCAGGTGAAATCATTTCATCTTGAAATGAAAGAGAGAGCAGTGACCATATACCTTATCAGCAGTTGAAATACACGAGTCGTTTTTCATTATGCTTTGAATAATAAGCATTCCCATAGTTTTGTTCGTTCCATCATCGAGATGATCCATGATACGTGGATAATTAGATAGTGTAAGAGCTGTAACTATGTCATTGTATTTCTCCAAGGGAGCACTCAGAAGTGCAACAACTTGTTTAGTCGCCCGACTGTCCTCAAGCTTGGGTATGCTGGAAAGCTTAGCTACACATGCGCCCTACAAAAGTCGTATGCATTAACAGCTTCACAATTGATAATAGTAACTAAAAGACAGATCACACAATTTTTACAATGGCAAATGGTCGGAAGCTGAGAAAAAACCTAAAATATGAATGGCCGGTAAATTATTCTCAAGCTAGAGATGCTATTAATAAAGGCACAAAATTTTATAAACTGACCATAGAAAGAAAACATACCAATACTTGATCCACATAGTCGAGCCGATCAGGATGAACTCGGAGCGTAAAAGTCAGAAGAGAGACATACAGAGTCATAGCTCCAAGAATGGGCATATCAAGCTGTGCATCTATCACCTACGACCCACAAGTCCTTACTTCAGATGAATGTATTAAAAAGGGAGTAATGCTATCCACTTCTCACTGCTAAAAGCCTCTTTAACGGAACCAACCTTTCCAATTGCATTGCTCAATTTGGCAAAAGCTTCCACTTGCAGAAACTCCGGTAGCACCTGTCCATGAGTACAAGAGAGAGTATCTTAAGTGCCATAAATCAAACATGAAAAAGGACAAAGTTGCGGTCTTGAGACTTACATCTGGGCTTGATGCAGCATAGTTTGACAATCTGTCCATCAGTTGGGTTAACACTATTTTCGTGTCAACTGTTGGCTGAGAAAGAAAAACATATACATAGTAAAGGCCAGACATTCACAGAAAAGGTTAATGAACTAAAACAACAAAAAAGAGAGACGCTAACTCATAACCAAAAATGTGTTTTTTTAATAACACCTAACTGCACTGGAAAGTAAAAGAGAGAATAATCTCCATTTGCAATCAGCATACCCACCATAAGTTGGGTGCAAGCACCCAATAAAGTCTCAAGGGTCTGCAGATGGTATTCATCAGGAAAGACCTGAATTATGCACTCCATCAGATAATACTGTGCTAGCTCATCCTTACAGTTGACAACCTGTTCAAAGTTTCCAAATTTAAGAGGAAGTACGACCCATATACCAAAAGGGGATTGGGTAGGAGATGATAAAATGAGCTACTGAACCTGTTCTAAAACCTTAGGAAGAACAGTCTCTTTGTACATCTCAAGGTCAACACCCTCTATCTGACTTAAAACATGGAGATTTTTCCCAACCTGAGAAGAAACACATAATAAAAGTTAACGAGCAGGTGACATCATAGTATAGGATGTAAGTTCAGTAATGTCATTGACGTTACAAGATCGCGTAGCTCGTTTCTTTCTTTCTCCTGCTTCTGCCGAACTGTTCCAGGTCCCTGCAGTCCAGAAATTCCAATGAACACCTCAGCTTCACCAATATGAATGATTCATAAGCATCACACAACCTGCATGACCAAAAAGCATGCTCCTTATGGTTCGTTTATGCTTCAGAGACATGCAAGTGGGGAGGTGTTGCGTAATTTAAACACCTCAACCGAAATGGAAGATCTGGAATTCACCTGATGCTGCATCCGAACCCAGAGCTTATTCATCTCACTGAAATTTTGCAGCACAAATTCCACGGCATCCATCACAGTGTTAGCATCTCTGCAGGAGGAAGAAGGAAGGCAGGTCAAGGTAAATAAACAGCAGGGCAGTATATTTCGAGGCAAAGGAAAGAAGAAAAATCACATTTACCACTCACCCTTCGTACTCAGAGCCAACATCAGGTAACTTATCCCTGCTCAATTGAGCAAGATAACTCCTCAAAAAGAGCCCCCGGACCGGATGTTGAACACCACGACACATTTCCACAAGATCTTTAAGAATATCCTTCGAAGGAGCCTCCTTGCTTTTGATGCATACAGATCCAACAGTACACAGCAGATACCTGGTAGATTTAACATTAAGGCCCTCACATACAGTGTTGAGAGAACTATTCAACAGGAAAATCGGCTCATTCGAAGAGATAACAACCATAATGAAACGTGAGAGAATGAACTTTCATGCTTAATCGATATGAATTTTGCAAAACTCCCTGGTATTTAGTTGTTTGGCCACATTTCTACCATTAGAGATCATCAGATCCTCATCAGATAAAAAGGAAGAGAAATGTTCAAAATTCAATCTCCAAGCATCACAAGTCAATCTATTTTTCTTACATCCTGGGCAATATGTTCCCGGCATGCTGGACAAGCTCGTACAAATCCATAACTGGAACCCCATGTCTGCTCTCGTCCCTGAAGAACATCTCCAGCTGCCTCAATTCATCGAACGCTCTCATATCTGATCCGCCAAATCCGAACAATAGCGATCAGAATCGAATATACTAGCTCAAAATCAAACAAACACAGAGTCGAGAGATTCAGTCTTCGCGATGAAATCGTACAGAGATCGTAGTACTTCTGAGGAGACAGCTTGGATGTACGGAGCTCCGACAGCATCAGAGCGGAGTACTTGAGGACGTCTCTGAGGTTGTCCGAATCCTGAGGCGATGACACACACAAAAAAAAAACTTAAATCAGATCGAAGAAACTCCGACAAATTCCGCCGGAGAATCAGCGAGAACGAAAGAGAAACCCGAAGACGGACCAAAGCGCGACGCATGAAGAAAGCGTTGTGTTGGATTCCCGCGATCCCTTCCGCGAGCCATTTCTCCTCGTCTTCTACTCCTCCGACCATCGTCTCTCTCTCTCTCTCTCTCTCTCTCTCTCTCTCTCTCTCTCTCTCTCTCTCTCTCTCAGGACAAACAATGTTCCTCCGAGTTGTTTTCGATAGTCCGTTTTTATTTTATCACGTCAAATATACAGAAACCTCATGCTTCCACTTTCTGGCCCCCCATCCGATGTAAAGTTGTAAACTTTACTGTGATTAGAAAGTTCACAAATAGATCTCAAATCCCTAATTTGATCATTCCACAACAAAGTATTGCTCAAACCAAAAACCCTAACCTGGGCAAATTGGCTTCTAAATCATTTGTCTGACACAAAAGTCTAAACCTTTACAACAATCATGATCCAGTTCGAACCCAACCAACCTGAATTCACTTCATCTTTTAATTCAACTAAGCATTGGTCTGAATTGTTTGCTTTACCCTGACATTGTCCACTTCAGTATACATCAACAACTGTTTTCTGAACAATCAGATTAACAAGAACCCATTTCACCATCAATAACGCAAAATGGTATACAGATCTCTGTGACTGAACAAGTTGAAGCCGAGCTGAGATACAGGTCAAGCAAAAGGGAAAAAAAGAAGACAAAAATCAATGGAATATCATAAAGGGATAGTATAGGGTAACGAATAGATGCCAACTTCAGGCAAAAACAGAGCTCTAGACCAAGAGGGATCTCCTAAACACCGCAAGCTGTTCAAGTCCTTGTCCATCTTTCCTGCTCCGGCTTTAGGCCTTTCTTGCTTCCTACTACAAAAGAGCCAATCTTGATGGTCGTAATCAACATCCAATGCCGTAGAAGAAGGGGCAGAGGGAACCCATCCTTCAAACAATGCATGGTATCGGGATTCTTTGCTTCTTTTCCGTTCTTTCTTTCTCATGCCAATGGGAATTGTAGTGCCCTCCTCCCCTCGAGAAGTCGAGGGCAAGTTCTCTTCTTGCAAAGATGTCCTTGCATTCGCGACAAAACTCGTATCGGCATCTTGGGCGACCGAAGTTGAGCAGACACGTTCCTCTTGAGGCACGGACTCAGGTTTGTTTGGCTTTCTAAACACAAATCGGATGCGTAAAGGTTTACCTGGTACAGCTGCAAATAAATCATCAACACATGAGTTATCCAGGAATCTTGACAACACAACCACATTGATGTACATGAAGCAGTAACACAAACCTTTGACATTGCTCTCAACAGCAGGCCAATCCTGCCTTTTCCTCTTGTTACTGCTCTGACTTTCATCAGACAGATAACAGAGACTTTGAGGTAGTTCATGTTCTTCAGTCAAATCACTCTTCTCAAGTTGTCTACTTTCATCTTGAATTTTCTTGGAATATAGGGGTTCAGGGTTATTATCAAACTTGGCTGCACGTTGTTCAAGGGCTTTCTTAGATTTCTCACGCTTTTCTTTCTTATCTCTCCTTTTCTCCTTCTTCTCCTTCTGTTTCCAGAGTTCCTTTATCGGATTGACTGTGTCGATTTTGATCTTTAATCCATTAGAGTAAAGGATTTAGACTGGGCATCTCAAGGAACATGGGATTGGGTAACAGACCACGCGACCCATGTGGGAAAACCATCTAACAGGGAATAAACAACATGACTGCCACTTTAAATAACACATGCCAATACACAAGTTTCAGGGCAAATATCATCCTGTTACATCAAAGTACACTGTACTTGGTACCCCACAAACACATAACAACCAGAAGAAGAAACCAAACAGCTTATCATATGTCTGAGATTCCATGTCAACCATTAACGCTTAGAATAAGGAAATGTGTATATGTGCAGTGCTAATTACATGGATCTATAAGAAGCATACCATGGATAAATCACCACATGAAGCAAAAACAAAACGAGCTTCTCAAACGTTAAGCCAATAAGAAGACAACAAGGAAATGCAACTAATCCTCACGATTTAACCACTCACTGGACGAAGCAACTGATACGAAGACTTTAACAAAACAATTCAAGATTGAAACGTGTATACCCATCATCTTCAGGCAAATCAACGAGAAAGAACCGACCAATAAACCAGATTTGGCTCAACGAACCTTAGTCGAATCGACCAAGTCCTGACCATTCGCCCAGCTCCTCTCATAGCCAGACGGTGGGCAAGGAAACGTTCGCGACATTGTTTCTGTTTCTTTCTCAGATTCGAACGAAGGTAAAAGCAACCAATTCGAATCGAAACCCGTAACCCTAGTCTCGATTCGTCCTCTTACACAGAGAATCTCGAGAAAACCCGGTAGTTATATGGCGCGAAATCAACAAAAAAATGAATTTCGATTCCACCACACGGATCTACCAAAAAAAACTAGCTTTAACCCTAGGAGAAAGAGGGTTTCGGATGAAGACAAGCGGTCCAATCCGATATATAGACGCGTGAAATCTGAGATCCGCCGACTCGGACAAAGTCGGTCACATGGAGGAAAAATGAAAACAAAAACCCTAATTTGCGTGAATTTCTTAAATTCCGGGGCTGTTTCTGTAATTTCCTCTTCTCCGCTTATTTCGGTGCGCGTCGGCTAAAAAGACTTTTCCTTCCCTCCTTTATCTAACCCCCAAACTCTCTTTTGGGCCTTTTATTGGGCTTATGTAATAATATTGGGAGCAAAGATGTAAAAAGACGTTTTTACTCCTGCGTTTTTTAACCCCCAACTTTTGCATGGGCCTACTATTGATCTTGGGCTCACATATTCAATTTCAATAGAGTTTCAGGCCCATAATGTTTTTTCGTATATACACACACATACAAAACCATACAAGTATAAATACATACATATCCGTCTCACTTCCGTATGTATGCATATTTTTGGATAAATTTCCAATTAAAAGTCGGTGAATTATATAACCAAGAATAATGATTGTGATAACCTTCACTTGCCACTAACAAATACGTCAAGCAGGGATGCTCAAATAAAAGAGTTATACCGTATGATTCGTGAATTAGATATTCGTATATCGCATAAAATGAAATCGGGTTCAATTTTTGGGTTTGAATATAAGATAACGAGGACCTGTATTTTGCTACACATTTATCGCCTAGGGCTAGGGTTAAAGTTTTTGTACTTTTCTCCAAGAATACATATCCTAATATTTAAAATATTATTTAAATATCCGAAATTCGGGTACTAAAACAGCATAGATCAGACAATAGGTCTAGAACGTCAAAATCTGAAAAAAAAAAAAAAATTGAATTTGGAGTCTAATATCCAAAATCTCGATGCTCTAACATGTATATATAGCTCTTAAATTCTATACATCTTATTGTAATTGTTTTATCATTTTTTTATTTTTTTTAATTTTTTTAAAAATGATTGAGGATGAATACACATGTTGAGAAAATCTATAATATGTTGTTAGAGAACATTGTAATTAAATATGAAAATACAAGATAAAAAAGGTGTATAAATTTGTTGTAATTTAGATTAAAAAAAGCTAATTAATTAAGTCTTTCACAAGTATACGCACACATTCTTTGTCGTCACTCGGGATCTACTTTTAAAAATACGTACAATAAAATTGACCACACCATGAATTTTTATGGACCGCTTTTCGTCCTAGGCCTATTTTATTTTTCAATTTTAGTTTTTTAGATAATTTTTTTCCGTTTCTTTCCTTATGTAAATTAATTTTGATTTTATCACTCGTGTGTACTTGTTGCATTCCTTTTTTTTCCCCGATTTTTATGGCCTTTTTAGTTTAAATATTTAGGTATAAATATCAAAGATCGAAAATAAAAAATTAAAATTAAAAAATCATTATATTGGGGCGAAAGTCCATTCGAAATCAATACAGCACGATTCTAGAATTATTTTGTAAAATTAAAATATTGTTTGGTCGATTCTTTAATATAATACTAAAAACAAGAAAAATAATTAAAATAATATTATTAATCTATCGATAAGTCTGCAATTATGTTTTTAAACCATAAAGAAATAATTAAAATATAAAAATATATAAAATACGTGTACGAGAAGAACATGCAAAGTTCCTCAATAAGTTTAGGGTCAATTATCGTGGGGAGATTGTATGAAATGTATGACAAATTCGGACTACATTCGATGTTTAACGTAATTGAAATAAATGAAACTATATCAACTACTAATAAATATCGTTCATCGACATTTTTTAAACTGTTAATTAGTCACTTCGATTTGCCCTACCTATCTAGTACCTTTGAATTATTGCTTTCATTATGTATATCAATATATATATATATATATATAACTGAATTATTGATCTCAATTATATATATAAGGGACATGAAAAAATATTATCGACTTGTTAACAATAATACAAAATAAAAAATTTATTTTTTTTATTGGATTACACATTAAATTATCAATTTATTAAAATTATATATAAATTAATGTAAATAACTAAGATTAATCTTACTATTACTTTTTATCAATTACCATAAACCATAGTGTTTGTAATATATATAACTTATAAATGCATATCCACAAAAAGTATAGACATTTAATAAAATTAGATGGTAGTTAGAAGTTAAACATCTTGTGAACGTGTTTATGTCACGTGCACAAAGATAGTTATAACTACGCGCATCGTGTAATCTGAATCAATGCTTTTTCTCCTTTTTCTTGGATTATTATTAGCTCGTATAACATATAGTTTGTAAAGTTTTTTTTTTTTTTGTTTATGAAAGTTAAGCTTCATGTTTACTCACATTCCATTAATTTTGTTAGACAAATTTTAATCCATTTTTAATCAAATTTGATTAGTATTTGGACCGTTATTTATTTTGGTGGTAATTATAATTTATAAAACTTATATTTGACTTACATTATTATGCGACTTATATGGATAATTTGTGTAGGTATACCGTATGTCATGGAGGTTATAATAAAACTGAAAAAGTCTTGATTTATTAATCATCACCTATAAATTTGTAGTTTGGTACGGGTTTACGTCACATGACAGAAGATATTATATATATATGTGTGTGTATATATATATATATATATATATATATATGTTTGAGGAGATCATTAAAATATTAGGCTCATAAATCCAAATTAGGGATTAAATATATATAGAAATTCATCACAGTCTGTCAACAATATATATATATAAATTTACATGCCTACTTAATAAATGCAATCCCATCTTCAAACCAACCAATTTAGCTTTGTTGTATTAAATATCCCAAATTAGAGAACACACACACACACACACACACACATATAGTGTATAATGCTTACAAACTTTTGATATAAGTGATATTGCAGTAACTATACATCAAAGCCCTACCATTTGTAAAGAGTACGTAGTTAATGGACCTAAAGTAACAATATGATAACCCTATAAGGAAAAAAGAAAGAAAGAAACGATGGTGAGTGTGATAACTGTAATACACTCGAGGAATGTAACAGAGCTAGCTTAGCTCCTAGAGTGAATACACAAACGAAACGTAAATAAATATAAAAACCCTTTTAAAATCTTATAAAATCCTCTAATTATCTCGCAAATTTAGGATAAAAAGTAACTAATAAAGACCCAACACAATCGCCACAACGCAATGTGTTAAATTTGTGCATGCACATGTGGAGAGAGAGAGAGAGAGAGAGAGAGAGAGAGAGGGAGAGAAGGGTCCCTCGAGGACCCAGATGAGAAAAGCTTATAAGACTTTGTTGTCTCGATTCTATTTGTAATTTTCAAAGGAGAGAATTTCCATACATTCATATAGCAACATAAAGAGAGATTATGAATTCGAGTTCCAATCTGAAATTCCTTGTGTGTTTACGTCGACCCTTTCTCTTGTTCATGTTCAGCGTCTTAGTACTGCCCATCACGACGACGACCAAAGCATTGGTCAAGCTCCCACCAAACGTAACCGTTCCGGCATTGATCGTGTTCGGGGATTCGATCATGGATACCGGAAACAACAACGTCTTGAAAACCGTCGTCAAGGCCGATTTTCCTCCTTACGGTATCGATTTTCAAGACGGAGTTCCCACCGGTAGATTTTGCGACGGAAAAGTCCCTACCGATCTTATAGGTTTGATCGCTTCTTTCCTCATGTTTTGTATGTTTTCGCCTATTGATCACTTGATTAGTCAAATACGTGTGTTGAAAGTTTATTAAAAAAAGGACAGAACACAAGTGAAAAGCTAACGTCCATTTGATTTTTTTTTGTCTTCTGAATTGTCTCTACTATAACCCTAGTCGTTTGACCCGTGTCGGCGTTGTTGTGTTTGGTATTTTAATATTAAATTATTTAGTATAAAGAATGAGTCTTTGCCTTGACTTTATATTTATATAATTAATTATATTGAATTTTATAGGTTTACGAATAATTATTGACAAAAATGGTTAGATTATCCGTATCTACTTGCCACGTTCTTCATCCACTCCAAATACTTATTTTATTTTTATTTTTCAAATATCTCTAAAAAATATTCCCGCATTTCAAAATATTTATAGTTTTAGATTATTTTCTATGTTTCAAAATATTTGTAGTTTTACATATAATATTCGGGTGTAAACAATAAAATTTGTAGGTCTGTCACAGCTTTTGTAACACAAACTATATATCTAATGCGAATATTTTCTAAAATTTAGTGGTGCTACCAAAACCTTAAGAAACTTGATGTAAACAAAAACTTGACATATGTGATCGAGGTATAAAAATCAAATTCCAAAAAATCCAGTTATTTGTCTTATACGTGTTATCTCTAAAAAGGTACAAACGATTTATTAGAATAACCTTCCATATTAATTGCAAAATATCAATATTTGGACAACCCATTTATTTATAGATTTTCCAAAATAAAAAAAGTGTGACAATATTTAAGGTGTTCCTCTTATTTCAGCCGAAGAATTGGGGATAAAATCGATTGTACCAGCATATCTAAACCCTAGTTTGAAGCCTGAAGATCTCCTAACCGGTGTATGCTTCGCCTCCTCTGGTTCCGGTTATGATCCTTTAACTTCAAAGATTGTGGTAATTATTATCTCTAATTAATCATATATATATTTACCTGTAAGATCATATATATCTTATATTGCTAATCATATGTCATTTAATTAGTTTCTTTTTTTTTTTCTTCTAGTACTAAAGTCGGAACCTCTATTTTTGTTGGAAAAAGATAGCTAATAAATACCGTCGTACTAGAGAAAAAAAATCATATTATTCTTAGTATTCAAGAAATTAATATATAAAAAAATTATGTATAGGTGTTTGTATTTTACTGGTTATTAATCGAAAAAAAACATTTAAAATAGTTTGGTATATAGATTCATGTTTTGTTCTACCTTCCGTTCAAACCCTAGAATATACAAACACGAATTATATATATATATTTTTTTTATTAGGTTATTTCTAACGGTCATTCCACTGTTTTTTTTTTTTTTAATGGTATTGCTAAAATAGTCAGTGATACCATTATCAGGGCAGTTGAGGTATTTCGAAGAGTACATAGAGAAATTGAAAGAATTAGTGGGCGAAGAAAGGAAAGACTTCATATTGGAGAACAGTTTGTTCCTCGTGGTAAGCAGCAGCAATGACATAGCGACCACGTACTTCACCCTGCATGCGAGGCAGTCCGAATACGACGTCGTCTCATACACTTCTCTTATGGCCGATCTTGCCTCCGATTTCGTACACGTAACATCTCATCATTCCCTATCATTTATTTATTTATTTATATTTCTATATCATCATCATCGTTGTTATTACAACCGTTACATTAATGGTTTTGTCATCTTGTGATTTTTGGTCATCGTTGGTCCACTGGATCGAGATTTCAACATCTTTGTCGGTATCCTTCACATCTCACAACATTATCCAAAGATTCCAAACCACATTTTTTGCATTCTATATTGATCATATTTTTTTTTTTGGGGTGGAGAAAGCTAATGATATGATCACTTAGTTCATTACAAACATTTGGACCGGTTTCTTTGATTGATTTTGTATTTTTTTTTTCATAAAATCACAATCAACCATTCAGTGATTATATTGATGGAGAATGTATAATGATGTGGCAGAAACTATATGGATATGGAGCCAGAAGGATAGCTGTATTCGGTGCTCCGCCTCTTGGGTGTATACCATCGCAAAGAACCCTAGCAGGAGGACTTGTTAGAGGTTGTGATGATAATCGAAACGAAGCAGCTAAGCTTTTCAACGCCAAATTATCCGCGGGTTTGGATTCGATTTCAAGAACCCTAGCCGGAGCTAGAGTGGTATACGTCGATATTTATACCACTCTCTTCCGGATCATCCAAAACCCTCGGAATTACGGTAATTCTAATGATGATTCTCTTCATATATTAACACGAATATCGGTTTCGTTTTATGATCATATCTATCAAATTTGTGCATATCTATATTGGATTCGATAACATTTAAGCGAAATATATATTGTCAATTGTTTTTGTTACAAATTAACTAGAGCATCTATAACAATATTGATTCATCGTTGCTTAGGTTATAGATTTTTTTTCTTCAAAAAAAGCGAGTTTTCATTGACGTGCCAAGATATATAGAGTGCAAAGGATGAACACAAGCAACTACCAACAAACAAATATTTTCTTCGTATTAAATGCATCAAATATGCGTTATCACTTGCACCCACTTCTTATATATCTAATTATTCTTGATCCTACGTAAAACAAAAAACTGTCCATTAATATACTTTTCAAAGTTTTGCGATTTTCTTATTTTTCAATCAGAAAATTTCGATTACAGGACAAAGCTAAAGAGAGAGAGAAAAAACTACCATTCGGGTTTTGCAGGATTTGAAGTAGCGGACAGAGGATGCTGTGGCACGGGAGATTTAGAAGTGGCTGTCTTATGCAACAAAATCACCTCATCCGTGTGTTCCGATGTGTCGGCCTATGTGTTTTGGGACAGCTTTCATCCGACCGAAAGGGTTTACAGAATGTTAGTTTCGAAATTACTCGACGAATATGCCCAAAAATTCTTCTGATTTATCCATAATTATCTACCAAAAACTGTGATCGTATCTTCTAATCTCAACGAGGGATCTTGTTGTGTCATTTCATGATTATAATCATGTGGAAATCCTAAATGAAATTCTCGTTTTTCGTTTTCGTATAATGCAAAGACTATATTAATGGTGAGAGATCGTATTTGGTACCAATGGGCTCGAAAGGGTCACTATGGGACCATTAGTCTACAAGATTCCATTTGCCAAAACAAGGCACAGAGAAAAAAAATGCATCCACTTTTTGTTTCTTATGATCCAAAAGCTTATACAAATACCCACAAATCTGGTGCTTTTATGGTAATAGTTTAACTAATTTAGAAAATTAACTTTTAAAAAATGTAAACCTCTTAAACAAAAATACGTTTTTAAAAATTTTAGTAAAAATGCTTTCCATACGCTCAAAAGTTAATTTTACTTTTCCTAATATTAGAATTTTGGATTAATTGCACCTTTCTCGAGGTTTTGGGATTTCGGGTGATTTTTATTTTTCTCGAATTCAGGACTTGATTTTTGAGAAGTAGATTTTTATTTTTCCCAAAAGAAACCTGGTTTCACCTCCAAACACCGTGCCGTCTTCAATTCCCAGGTCCTGAATGCTTGCCGTTTTTCATGATATTTCCTTGCAAGCTTATCAGCGCCTGCATTTTTTGCTTCTAGGCGGCTACTTGAGAAGAAGTCCTCTTCTTGCCTTTCTTCGCCTCGACTCCTCCCTGTTGTTCTAACTGCTCAGCCTTCTTCTGGGCACGGATCATCACCCGTCTTGCTCGAGGTCTCATCTCTCTCGCTCTACGTGAAGGCATCGCAGACGGGTCAAGTGGCCTGTCGATGAACGGATGCTCATTGCCTGCGAATATCCTCAGCTTCCGATCCCTATCCTATACCCACACGAAAGAGAACGATAACCCTGTTGACGGCTTTCAGTTTGTCGCAAACGCATCATAGACTCGAAAAGTAAGCTATTCATCCGATAATGCCCCGCGAATTTTTATAAGCTTTCAACCAATCTCATACTCTGTAAATGCCCTGCCCTGATCCCAAACAAGTGGAAAGCAGGACCTGGAAAACTGCTATAGTTGATTGAAGTGCCTCGGGAAGTGAAGAAACACGAGTTATGACTCGGGTCATCCCGTAAGTGTACTTACATCGCGCAGATTGTTCCTAGGAAGCATACGGAGAACAGCCTTGCGGATCACCTCAGTCGGGTCTTTGACCATTTGATCTTTCAGACTCCTCTCCTTGAGATGACCGATATACCTGTGTTTGTCAGGAAAAAAAAAAGAGATGATGAATACCATAACAAAGTACACGAAAAAAGCAAAATTCCATCCAGCAAAAATCAACCAGTTTCTGTTTTTTTATAGATGGTGATCCAAGATGAGAATACTTGCCCTGTGTGCCAACGGTAGAATTTGTCAGTGAGCTTTCTTCCCGTCACACATATATCCTTAGCATTGAGAACAATGCACATATCCCCGTCATCACGGTTTGGAGTATAAGTTGGTTTATCCTTGCCTTGAAGCACGGTTGATATTTGAGATGCTAATCTACCAAGAACCTACAAAACACAAGGCTGGTCTGAGATGAGATATTTCCAAAGAGTGAATCTTACAGATCCAAATTCATCAAAAATCAAGATATTATATGTGTTCCTAAATTGCAAAGTTTTCAATCATATTAGTTATAAGATTAGGATCTGCGAGCCATTGGGAGCTAATCGAGCTTAACAGGAGGAGCAGACAGAAAAGCCGACAAAACCTGGCCTTTGGCATCAAATACTCTCCATCTGAGACCATCGAGATTGATACGCTTTATCCCTGCCATTGCTTTCTGCATAAAAATCCTAGCAAATATTCAATGCCAATAATAGAGTATATCCACAAAGCTTCTGTTAGAATTCCTTCTTTAATTCATACAATTTCTCACTAGTTTAGAAAAACGGAAAGAAAAGCACATATAGACATTACCTACACAAAAGATCAACAAATTGAATTTCACAGCCACAGTGGATAAGTTCAAACATCACACATCAAACTTTGACAAAAGGACAAATGAATTGAATCATAACAAGAATAAGAAACCCTTCACCTTTAAGTTTCCATTGAATGAAGCAGCAGCAGCAGCTTGAGTTGCCATCTTTCTTCAATTCACTATTCTTCAACTATAAAAACTTCTATGACAGACATTAAAACAAAACACTCGATCATAAACATGTTTTACCACCATTGTAAGACCAGTCTCTTTTACAGTTGAGAAAAAATTTCCAAGGTTGACGAGAGAGAAGAACACGGAAAACAAATCACAAGGATGGCCAAACAGAACTTGAACATTCCAAATACCAAAAGTTCCATGAAGATCTCCTGAAGTCCCACAGTTCCCTAATGCTAAGATGTATGGCGAGAGAAAAGTCGAGTACGTTACTTAAACAAACTTCGCTAAGCTATACTTCTCTCGTGTCGTTCAATATATGAAAGGCCAAAATTTTTTTTAAATAAAAACTCTGAATGTCCTTATTAACCCTGGAATCTTTTCTATGGAATTCACAAACATTGTATAAGTGTTTATATCCATATATCATCGAATACTTGGAACCTACATAACACGATTGGCAGGCACCGTCAGTCTCATACTTCTCCGCCTCAAACTTTCTCAGGAAACAAACAGGAAGGGAAACCCGCATAGCCGATTTCACTGATCAGTAGGATAAACGAATCAAAACTGGAACTTTTCTCTTCTAGGAGAACGAAATGGAACAGCCGGAATTTTCACAGACTTGAGCAAAACGAATGAAAGCTGAAATGCTTCTTCATCACATAACTTCCCCCAAATCATAAAACCCACAAGAATATATAGTACCGGGAAAACTAAACGCCCGATTAAAACCCTAAAATTACCCTCGAACCCGCGAATTCCGACTTGTATGGCGGAAATGAGCAGAAAATCTATAGGTTCCGCTCCGTGGGTTTCGAATTCGAACCAGACAGAGAAAGAAGATAGAGAGGGGGGGGGGAGGGAAGATATACCTGGACAACGATCAAGAGCTGAAACCGCCGGCGATGATGGCGGCGGCGGATGGAGGAGTGATCACTGATCATTCCCCTGAGTAAGTGAACGGCCCAAAAAGGGTTTCAACGTTGAGTAATCTCGAGGGTGTTTTCGGGTTTCGAACAAAGCCGAGGCTACTTTTGTCTTTTAGTTTAGCGTTATCTACATCGGCCATTCTTTTTTTTTAAAAAAAAAATTGAATAAATGATTTTTAAATAATTTTTCAGAATAATAGTTACGGAATTATGAGACTATCCAATCAAAACGTTTAAGGGTTCGACTGGTTGTACCGTAGCGGTTGCGGTTGCGGGTGGCAGCATTTTAATTAAATTTTTCGTATCATTTGATAAAAATTATTTACTAAATTTATAATAATTAAATAATAAATTTAAAATATAAATATTATCAATTTAATTTATTTTTAAATAAAAAAATAATTTTATTATAAAAATTATTAAAAATAATCATTATTAAACTTAAAAATTATACTATTATATTTTTTTTTATTAAAATATAATACTAAAAAATAATATCAAATCATAACACTAAACAAAATCATCACCAATATATATATTAATGTTTTATATAATTTCTAATAAAAATATTTTAGTTTTTTTGTCAAAACGCTGGAAATCGCTACAAAAACGCAAATTGGAAGCTGCGATTAGAAAACACAAGTTTGGTTGCGGTTGGTTGCGGTTCAACCAGTCAGTTTTTCAATCGCCCACAACCGCCGAAAATCGCAACCGCTCCGTTTGCGGGTGGCGGCGGTGCAACCAGTCGCCCCCTAAGTAAGATTAATGTGAAATCAAAGAATCTAAATTAAGTATGGATATGGATATCTTTGATTTTATCATCATAGATTATACATATTAATTTACAAATTAGGTTTATAGATATATACAAATTATAAGTTTTTTTTATAACGGAGGATCTCTATCTGCTACCCTTCAGACGCGCTAACTAGATAAACCTCCGATCCGGGAGCAGCATTTGTATATGGATCATATAAATCCAAAAATTACTTCATTTTCCATCAGCCAGGAATCGAACACTCAATTTCAAGGTGGATTTACCTCTTAAACCAAATTTGACCATTCGGCCACGATCTTGGGTTACAAATTATAAGTTGATAGCTTTTCTATGTTTGGATTTAAATACGTTATTTTTTGTTCAACGGACCCACGTGGCCGAGTGTTGGGTATCATCACGCCCTTTGTTCTGGTCAGTTGAGATTTCGTTACTTATCTATCGGTGGGGCGAATGCATCCATTAATACGTATTTTGGATCCGCCGTTAGATGCAACAGTCGTTACTGAGATAAATACAAGCATATATATTAAAAATAGGGAAACTAGTGGATAAACTTGATTTGTGTGTGATTAGCAAAAAAACCACGAGTCTAATAACGAAGTGGCTAGAAGTTCACCACATAATGCGAAATCCAAACCGTGTTTCAAGGAACTCCCGTGTCCCAACCTCTCTCACTCGTGCATAAATAGTGAAGTCGCGTTTCATCCCCCCACAACCAAAATTTTTTTTTTTTTCATAACCCAAAAAAAAAATAATAATAATAAAAATATAGAAAAAGAAAAAGAAAAAACTCTTGATACTAAATCGCTCAGTCCTGTAAAATGAAACCCTTTTTCACCAAAGCGCTGTTAGCGTTGTTTTCCATATGGTTCACAAACGCCGACGCACAAAACGCTGGCTTTTCAGCGGTACTCGCGTTTGGAGACTCCATACTCGATACGGGCAACAATAACTTACTCATGACCGTCTCCAAATGCAACTTCTTCCCTTACGGACGAGACTTTCCCGGCCATAGACCCACCGGAAGATTCGGAAACGGAAGAGTCGTCTCGGATTTAGTCGGTATATATTGTTCTTCTCTCGTCAGTATCATCCAATTACGTCGTAATCTTCTCGAATATTCTCTATATCGTTAATATTACATAGGGACCAATTTGTAACCCGATCTTCTGTTCTGTAGCCGAGGGTTTGGGGATAAAAACACTTTTACCCGCGTTTCGCAACCCGCTCCTTTCGAGCAACGAGCTTCCTACCGGTGTTTGCTTTGCTTCCGGTGGCTCCGGAATAGATAAAGTTACCGCTTCGATACAGGTTTGAATCAAACAATCTATATATAATCATGGATTTATAGTATCTTCGATTAATTTCCGAGTATTTCGTCAAATCGTTGAACAATACATTTGTTGTTCCAGGGTGTCATTTGGGTACCGGACCAGTTGAGAGACTTTCAAAGATACATAGAGAGACTTAACAGCGCCGTCGGGGATCCCCAGAAAGCTAACGAAATCATATCGAACGCGGTGTTTCTCATCTCAGCCGGAAACAACGATCTTGCCATCACTTATTTCTCGACCCCGGCTCGGATGACGCGATACACCATAAGCAGATACACCGACATGTTGATCGAATGGACAACGACCTTTTTGAAGGTAAGTAATGGTGATGATCAACATTTTTGATTAGTTTTTTCCCGATTATAAATATGTTTATCGACCTTTGGTATATATATCTAACAGAATCTGTATGATCTCGGGGCGAGAAAATTCGCGGTTCTCGGAACGTTGCCGCTAGGATGCCTACCGGGGGCGAAGCGCATGACAGGAGGGATGCTTTGTCTCCCGAATGTAAACTATGGAGCTAAAATGTTCAACAACAAGTTATCGAATTTGGTTAATCAACTCAATGAGAACCTCCCCGATGCCAAATTCGTCTACGTCGACATGTACACCTATCTTATGGAACTCGTCGAGAATCCCGCAAAAAATGGTACGTATATATATATAAACGATCACAAAAATGAGACGTCGTGGGGGTAAAAGATGCTAGACCGTCAAATCTTCTCATTCGATATCTGATATCGTGAACACTTGCGTACGTAAGTACGTACTGGTTATAGAATGCATGCATGCATGCATGCATTTTGTAATAAGATTTCGTGTTTAAATTTCGATTTTTGTTCCCTTGTCTCTACCAGGTTTTTTGACAGCCGCAAAGTCCTGTTGCTGCATGGTTGCGTCACCAGTGCCATGCTTAGACGCCTCACGTTACGTGTTTTGGGATTTTGGCCATCCCACGCAAAAGGCTTACGAAACCATTCTCCCCAACATCCTCAATGATATCCGCAGCCTCTCTTGATTAACTTATTTAGTTTTTTAAAACCGAATAATTGTCCTGTAGCACGTGAATTATATCGCAGAAATTTCTGTATTTTATACGATCCAGTCCGTGTTCCGTGTTATTTGGAAACTAGAAACATGTAAAATTAGTTTCCATCCCCCAGCTACGTTGCCTTCGAACTCGAGACAAGGCGAGATGAAGATCAAAGTATCATGGTGTGTCTGAATCTTATTATTATTATTATTATTATTATTATTATGGCCAACTTTGTCCTGATAGTGTTTGTAATTCATGGTACGGTCCATCATCTCCTTTTTTTATGTTAAGAATAAACTATGTTTTCTTTCGTTTGATCGTAATTCCATAGCTTTCTTGTACAAAAGGCAACGCTATTGCGTAATTTATAAATGCAAAAATTATAAGAAGTATATATAATTCGATTTTCTTTTAACGTACCATGAAAATCGTTAGGAATTAAATCACTGGTTCATAACTCTCCACCACAAAGTGTAAAAGCGAATAGGATTAAATATTTTCTATCCCTAAAACTAAATACTCCATCCGATTTCATTTTACATTTTACATAACCCTTATTTATTATACAGACAATTGTTATCCCTAAGCCGAATATATTATTAACTAAGGATAAATTTGGAACAAATATTAAAAAGTAAATTGAAAATCTGAAATCGTCATTTATTTTGAAACCAAAAAATTGTTCTAAAACGTCATGTAAAATGATACGGAGGGAGTAATACTTTTTATAGCTTTTGTATTTGGAAATATTTATAATTAATGTTTTAATAAACTGGTTTCTAAACTATCGAAACTAGGTTACTAAAAGCATTCAACTTTTTTTTTTTATGAAAAAGCATTCAACTTTTTTTGTAAATAAAATCAAATATAAAATTGTAATTAGTAGCAATAAAATCTATGTATAGTTCGAATAATTTGGACCGATCTTGGTATCTTTTATTTTCCCTTGTAACTTCACCCATTGACGCATTTATTTCCAACTTCTCTTCTCCGATCACACGAAACGATGTCGTCCGCGGCGGAGAAGAAGATCATCCTGAAATCCTCTGACGGAGTGGTCTTTGAGATCGACAAGGCCGTCGCGATGGAATCTCAGACCATAACGCATTTGATCGAGGACGATTGCGCCGGTGATGCGATCCCGATCCCGGAAGTTACGAGCAAGATCCTCTGGATGGTCATCGAATACTCCATGAAGCACGTGGCCGCCGCCGCCGCCGCCGACGGCGCCCTCAAGGCGTGGGACGCCGAGTTCGTCAAAGTCGATAACGCTACGCTCGTCGATCTCATCCTGGTAATTAGTTGTTTCCTGCATATGTCTCTTAATCTACTTGTTCTTCGTTTGTTTTCTGAAATTTAGGGGTTTCGATCGGATTATTAGGTTTTCAAATCTGGAATCGAAAGAGGGTTTTTCCTGATTTTGGGAGGTTTTATTAGGGTTGTTGATCAACAGAATCCCCTTTCCAATGACAACTTTCCAAGTCTGATTTGATTGATTAAGATCCCATAGACATGACTTATCGAATCATAAATATGTTGTATATGAACGGATTTTCCCGATTCATGGAGGTCAACTAGGGTTCATAGTAAACAAGAATCTCTTTTCTTTTCGGCTGATGAATATGAATCCCGATCCCTCTGAAGAAATTCTAAATTCGATATGGCGATTTCATATACATGTTAATTTGAAGGCGGCAAATTACCTCAACATAGAGGGGCTTCTTGACCTAACCTGCCAGAGAGTGGCGGATATGATCGGAAACAGCAGAAATCCCGAGGAAATTCGCGAGAAGCTCAACATCGAGAATGATTTCACGGCCGAGGAACTAAAAGACTTGAACGCCAGGATTAATTGGGCGTTTCGATGATTGTTGATGCATGCATTGATCAATCTCGATCGAGAGTCATTGATGTGAATATCAGCTAGATAATGATACGCACGGACGATATATCTTGTTGGATCATATAGCGATGTGTAACAGTGTGTTATAAGTATATGTCGTTACATATTCAATTCATTAGTGCTTGTCTCTTGGGTTGATTTGTGCGTTGATTATATTATAACTCTTACGTGCATGGTGACATACACTTACACACGCAGTGCTTTTAATTTTAATGGGAAAATTCCAAGACAAACGCTTAACTTCACAATTTTGACCGGAAAAAACACTAAACTTTATTTTTTGTAAGATAAGCATTAAATTTTCTACGATTATAAAAAATAAACACTTAACTTTTTTAGTGATAAAAAAATACATAAACTTTTTTCGATTGTAAAAAAAAAACTAAGTAAAATAATCAGACGTATTTGCATCTCATTGGACTCATTCATTTTGTTTATTTTGACAATCGTAGAAGGATTAAGTATTTATTTTGTCAAACTTAAAAAATTTAATATTTATTTGATAAAATAAAAAGTTCAGTGTTTTTTTTGTCAAAATTGTAAAGTTCAATGTTTTTTTATTTATTTTTCCAATTTTAATTGATGTTGTGTTGTATTATTTTCTTGCACAATTTAAATAATAGTAAAATTTTATATAAAAAAATGTATCCATTACAAGATTAAGCACTCATATTAAAAATTTTACTAGAGTATCTTATGTTTTTTTATCCCGGCCTAAAACACTACCTTTTCTCCATTAGACACTAACTTAATTAATATCGTGTTTAAAGTTCATACATTTATTTAAACTGAGATTTTCCAATAACATTAAAAAAGTTAATTCAATAAAATCTACGGATAAAAATGTTGAAACATTAGGTAATTGGGAGACGAAGATTTTTAGGTTTATTTTTCAGGAAAAAAAGATGTTCAAAATAAAATTCCGTTGCCGGGAATCGAACCCGGGTCTCCTGGGTGAAAGCCAGATATCCTAACCGCTGGACGACAACGGAATGATTGATGGTTTTAATATTTTAATCTATATTAATTTTCGTGTTGTTTATTTTGCATAAATTGATATTATATATTATATATATAAGAGATAGATTTGAATAAAAACTGAAGCAACATTACATATATGTCATTTTATACATATAGCATATTGTTTGCAACACGCAACCAAATCATTTTAGGCACAACGGTCATGACCATGCTGATTTTTACTCGTGCTACATAAATTAGAGGCTTCGTTTATGGCAATTGCGACACGTGTCTCATTAAGGAGACGATAAACACAGGTCGTTTGAGTTCATTCAAAACCGCAAGACGTCTATATAATCAGAACCACAAATTAAAAACTGGAAGAATAGAAAAAAAAAATCTGTATTTCAATTTAAACTCTATACTTTCTTATATTCTAAAAAAATCCTATACAATTATTTTATTTTCAAAATATCCTGTACTTTTAAATTTTTAACCAAAAAACCCCTGACGTCCACATGAATAAATAGAAATCCTACAAAATCCATTATAATCGCTATAATAATTTTTTCTTTAAAAAAGCTTATAAAGCTTACTCACAATCTAGAATAGTTTTCGTTTTTCATGGTTAGATAGAACAAAAATAGATTAAAACTGAAAAACCTTACTTTTATAGTAAATAGTATATTAATTCAAATAACTCTTTACATTATTCAATCATTTCTATCATATACCAGTTAGATAAAATTATAGTCGGGAGAAAATGATAGAATTGTTAAAATTATTTAGAAATTTAAATTTCCACGTGAGATAAAAGGGTATACGTGGCACACACACATATTAGGAAAACGTACAAAGAACTCCAAAATTCCATAACTAATTTATATATTTCTTTTGGGTAACAGCAAACATTCTTTTTTTTTTGTTCCTTCTCACTTTGTCAACCCCATAAAATCCCAACCTTTTAAAATAATAATAATAATAATAATAATAATAATAATAATAATAATAATAATAATAATAATAATAATAATAAATAATGCCAACATCTAAATAGAAAGAAGAGGAAAGGAGCTGCGAAGTGGCAACAAAAGCCATCGCAGCGAAAGCATAACACGTTTCAAAACGCACCGTGTGAAGGACGTTAACGTGCGCCATAAGCCATCATATTAGTAATTATCTATTGAGCGTTGCTAACGTCCGCCATCTGATCTCTAGCTGTCGCTTCTCAATCTTCTTTTTCTTCTCCTTAGTTTCCTCCTCTTCCTCTCTCTCTCTCTCTAACCAATCAAATCTTTATACACATAAGTGTATATATATATATATATATTCTCATACACAAATTCTTCTGTATATATATATATATATCCTTGAATATCCATCAGTCTTTGATCAGATACGATTTTGAGTTCTCGTAGAAGATGTTGAAGTTCATAAAATTTAAGAGTTCCAGATCAAAGTCTTCCTCTGCAAGAAAAGGTAAGAGCTTTTTTTTTTTTTTGCAGTTTCTCCATTTGTTCTCGCGCTCATCGGATCATGTAAACCTCTGTGCTGAGAGCTAAATAAAAATCTCAAAAGGGTTTTTTCAATTCTCGTTTATTTCTGCTTCTGCAATGTATTTTATATATTCGCTCACGTTTATATTCATGCGAATATATATATATATATATATATATATATATATATATGTGTATACATATGCCTGTGTATATACAGTGAGTATTTTTCTTTTCATCCCCTGAAAATCCTCAGAAGGGTGTCGAAAAGTCCGGATTTTGTTCAGTGTTGTATATCATATAGACGGCAAATTCTATCATATTATGTGTGTATTTGGGGGGGGGGGGGGGGGGTGTGTGTGTGTGTGTAATAATCATTAAGTGGATTCATATCTGACTTGTGTTCTGTCGTTTCTTCTTTTGTCAAGCAGGAAAGTCCCAGAAGGAATGCGTTAGAAACTTGACCTCCAAGGCAAGCTTGAACGAAGAGTACAAGGAAGCTTTCAGAACAAACTCCTACCTGGAAATCAAAACAAAAGCAGAAGGACAGTTGGGAAGAACACTCTGTGATCGGCTCTCTTCTTCTCCATCCTCATCATCATCTCTCGGTTTCCAAGTACATTTCACGGATTACTTGCTCGAGCCTCGCCAAGAAACCGTTCACGCCCTTATGCAAGAACTGCGTTTCCACCGTCTGGTCGTGAAGTTCTTCGATTCTAGCTCGGAGGCGTGCTATATCTGCGAGTCTATCCTCAAGTGCGTCCACCAAACACGGGCTAATCACAGGAAAATCAAAAGGGTGATCAAGATCAGCAAGAAGGTTTGTGGCGATGGTAAAAGTTCAGATCTTTCCCCTGAAAGGGTTTTCAGTCTGGTATTGGAAGAGCTTTCAAGGTTCACGTCGCTGGAAAATCCGCTGTGCAACGTAAACGAGGCCGAGTTTCGATGTTTTCACGACTCAAACGCGGAACTTCTGGCGAGATTGATGTCGAAGAGGAGAAGAATCATAAGGAAAGTAAAGTTCTTTAGATTCTTCAAGAAAGCCGGAGGCTACGGCCTGGTGATATCCCACAGCGTAACCGTGGTTGCGTTGCTGGTTTTCGCTCGGCATTCTTGCCGCACCTGCATTGCTGGCTCTATGCTCTTCAGGATTGCTGAAGAACAAGAATAAGAAGAAGAAGAAGAAAAAGATGGAGACAAAGATGATGAACAAGACGGATGTGTCGGAGGAGAAGCTCGTAACACAACTCGACATTGCAGCGAAAGGGATGTTCATACTGATGAACGATTTCGATACGCTGAGTCGGCTGGCGGGAAGATTGTCGGATGAGATAGATCACAGGAAAACAGTGGCTGCGATGTGCGTGAAGAGTCTGAAAACCGAGGTTCTGAAAGAGGCGGTGAATGAGTTCGATGCCCACGAGGAGAGGTTTTCAGAACAGCTGCAGGAGCTGGAAGAACACGTGTATCTGTGTTTCCACACCATCAACAGATCAAGAAGAATGGTGTTGGAGCAGATAACAGGACCTCCTCAAGAACTGGAGCAATGTTCTTGATTCTTTTGTTCTGTTGTTGCTTTTGTGTACAGAAGCAAGCGTAAATTAAGGGGAAAGGATTCTGACAAGAAAAACAGCGATTAATTAAAGAGGATCTATGCTTAAAGATTCTACTTTGCTCTTAATGAATCCGTTGGTTTATTATCCAATGATCCCAGAGAAAATTTGTGAAAAAGGGTTTATGAGAAATCGAGAGAATATGGTGAATCTCTTGGCATATCATATTTAATATTTTTGATTGAACCCAATCTTCTTTGTATTCCGAATTTCTGATAACTCTAAATATTTATATTCCTAAATTTATTTAAATATTTGTCTAACTGAATAAATCCGATTAAAACCTTTTGTTACTCATTTTTCCGTTTACAAATTTGTCGGTTGTCTATTACCCTTCTTTTCTTGTTTTTTAAAACATTTTTTGGCAATTATAAAAAACACTAAACTTTTTTTTATTTTAATAAAAAAAACACTGAATTTTTTATTTTATCAAATAAATATTAAATTTTTTTACTTTGACAAAATAAGCACTTAACTCTTCTACAATTTTCAAAATAAACAAAATGACTGACGTGATATGCAAACACGTTAGATTATTTTAGAAAAAATCCCCAAAAAACACTGGACTTTTCAATTTTGACCAAAAAAATATTGAACTTTATTTTTTTATCAAATAAACATTAAAAATTTTAAATGGATCTAAAAAAACACTGAATTTTATGTGATCCAAAAAATACATGAATTTTTCTCCGATTATCAAAAAAACACTGAACTTTTTTAGTGATCCAAAAAAATACATGAATTTTTTTCGATTGTAAAAAAAACTAAGAAAAATAATCTGACGTGTTTGCATATGATTGTGTCACGTCAGCCATTTTATTTAAGAGTTAAGTGTTTATTTTGTCAAACTTAAAAAGTTTAATGTTTATTTGATAAAATAAAAAGTTCAGTGTTTTTTTTAATCAAAATTTAAAAATTCAATGTTTTTTTGGAATTTTTTCATTATTTTATTTAATTTTTTTTATAATAAAAAGTTCATGTATTTTTTTTGGATGACTAAAAAAGTTCAGTGTTTTTATGATAATCGTAAAAAAGTTCATGTGTTTTTTGGATCACTTAAAAAGTAAAGTGTTTTTTTAGATTCTTTTAAAAATTTTAATATTTTTTTGATAAAAAAAATTGAAAAATTCAATATATTTTTTGGAATTTTCCCCTATCTGGTCAAATTTTATACAATTTAATAAGAGAATTGGGTTAGATTTTTGTTCGGGTTGGATGTAGGCAATCATACATGCATATTGCATTCTATCAATTTTTTTAAATATCATATAGAACAGGTTTCGGTTTTACATTTCTTTTTCGAGACAAATCAAGAATCCGTATCATAAAATCCTCGAATCAAAAGGATCATGACCATGGCGGGCCACTCGAACAATAAAACAAAACAAAGCGCGACCACTGCCTAAAACAACCTTCATCATCAAACGAGAAACTCCCAAGAAAAAAAAAAACATTATGAGAACTGAATATCGGTGGAAAAAGACTGTCCGAACGACCAAGAACCCGGAACGACGTCGTGGAAGACTAGGGTTTGGCCATCGGTGGCGGTGACGGAGAAAGAGAGGGATTGGCCGTTGAGGAAAGCGTTGGATTGCCAGTTAGCTCCCCAGTTCCGGGACATCGTCATCCATCCTGTCTTAGATCCTTTGATGGAGACAGATCTTACGGAACCAGCTCCCGCGACGTTGGAGATCAGTACGAGTTCGAAGTAGTCTCTTCCGTTCACTGTGAATCTCACTCCTCCTTTCTTGTAGCATGGCACTCTGCTTTTTCACAGTTCCATTATTCAATTAAGACTACTTAGATATTGTCTAGTGGATAAAAGAGAGAGAGAGATGAGTGGACCTTTGGAAGAGGACGGGGACGATGCCACCGCGGTAGATACCGATGTTTTCCCAAGCGGGTTGGGCCATGTCGAAGTGCTTGAGCGGCGGATTGCACCATCCGCCAGCATTGTTGGGGAGGGCGAAATTCGGTGGGCAGAAATTCGTCGCCGTCACAGTCACGGAAGCTCCCTTTCTGCACCAGCGAGGGTCCGAGGCGTAGTCGCACGTTACGCTCCGTCGTTGAAAAGAGCGGTGCTCAGTGCCGCCGTCATCGTCCCGTACCCCGTCGAGTACAGGTTCCCATATCCACATGCCCCTCCTGCAATACCAAACGCCTAATCGAACCGTAACCCGATATTTATTTAGACATTTAATTTCCCCCGTTGAAATGTTAACCGAGATGTCAAGAAAATATTTAAACTCTGTCAAAATCATAAACCTACTGTACATATAACCTGGAATGTTATGCTATTTTGACTTTTTCCGGTTAAAATGTTAACCGGATGTCAATAAAATGTTTAAACTTGGTCAAGATTGAATCCTATCCTCACCCTCCTCTCTCTTTTTTTGTAGAAATATTTCTACTCTCTCTCTCTCTCTCTCTCTCTCTCTCTCTCTCTCTCTCTCTCTCTCTCTCTCTATATATATATATATATATATATATATATTATATGTGAAATGATCTCATTTACAATATTTGATAAATCTTGTGCTCAATGATGTGAAACCAAACCGGTACGTAGTCTCCTTTGGTTCGGTTTTGGTTTTAGTATCGTAGAACGTAAATTTAAAACCGGGAAAAGAGACATAAACCAAAGTTTGCTATTACAAGAAAATGTACCCATGGTTCCTGAAGCGTCACTGCCTCCATAGAATGTGGCATGGCCATTGGTTACGCCGGAAGCCGAAAATGCATCAACTATCACCACATACAGAGAGCAAAAACCGATCAAACCCGCTAATCCAACCAGAACCTTAGCCATGATTTCGATATGAAGAAAGAAGAGGAAGAAACAAGTAGAGAAGAAGAGTTATTTCTGTTTGTGCTTTAAGGTGAAAGGTCATGGATCTTTAAATAAGTGTGGCAACAAAAACCTTACATGTGATCTTATCTTCATTTTTATCAATACATATATATTAAAAAATATTTATATATATATATACACATATATATATAGCCGACGTCTCGATCTATTTTTGTAGATATAAACATCGATATCGAGTTTCAACAAGAGCTTTTGACGTTTTTTTATAATCTATCATTTTACATACATACATACATCTTTATCTATGTAATACGATATATTTTACGGATAATTTATAGATTTCTGAACGTATGTGATTTTAATTAAACAAAAAAAAAGATTATTTCTTTTTCCAAAATGAAAAAAGAAAGAAAGAAAGAAGCATGAAGGACAACACAGAGCTATGAAACATTGTTTAAAATCCCACGTTAGATTGTGTGTTGATAGGTCTTAAAAAGTCACATGGTTTTCCCAACAGGAGGCGTGCATTCTTCGCATCCTGCCAAATTGCTGTTCAATTTAAACATTTTCCATAAAAAAAGGAAATCTTTAATATTTTAAATTACCTTTATAATATATTATATTATGTGATAACACATACCAATATAGGAATTTGTCTTCTATAATTCATTTTTTTATTTTATTGTATAGAATTTATCAAATGAAAAAAATAAAGATTAATAAGTTAACATTATATACATAGTTTTATTCTAGAATCGAACGAAACCAAACCATTCGATCAAGGCCGTCTATTAGCAGGTTCAATAGGTGCAAAAGAAACAGGACCCCTTAATTTTTGGGACCCCATATTTTAAAAAAATCTTTCTAATTATTATTATCATTAAATATTAATAATTATAGAATTAAATATTTTAAATATAATTAGTATACAAAAAGAAATAAATATTAAATTTCAAAAATTAATTACATTTCAAATTATCAATAGAAATTCAATTTTATTTTTAAAATAAAAAATAGTTATATTTATAATAAAACCTTTAAATTTATAGATTTCTTTAAAAAAATTATTATTATTATCATTAATATATAAAAAATATTACAAAATTTATTTATTATCATTAAATATTTTTATAGAAATTAATAAATTTTAAAATAAAAAAAAATTATTAATTGATATATTATATAAATTTATAATTTTTTATATTATTAATTAAATTTAATAATAATATTTTTAAATTATTTTATATAAATTGAACAGGGCCCCGAAAAAGTTTGAGACGGCCCTGCATTCGATTATAAACTTATTTTATTAAAGCCGAATTTAAACGATTTAGTTTATATAATCATTTGGGAACCGAACCAAAATCCGAAATAGTAAACCGCTAGATTTAGGTAAAGGTAGGATGATTGATTGGACATAAATTGGGGTATTCGTGCACATGTCTTGATTTTGACGATAGATGGCTGAGTTGGATATGGGTGTATATATACATACATACATATATGTATGTATATATCGTTTTTTCGGCTATTGCAAGAGATAAAATGTCGATTTAAATACTATTTTTTGCATGTCATCTGACAACAACGTTGATTGATGATGCTGGGGCAAATGTATTAATTGTTCCTAATACGGCACATGACTATGTTCTCAAACTCCTTACGTGTCGTCCAAATCACATTATATTTTTTTATATAAAAAAAAGTGAATTCCATTTCATTTTCCTGTTATGCAGAGTTTTGACGGTTGGCGTTTTACAATTCCATATTTTTTTTATTATTTTAGGTTTAGAATATTCTAAATCCGGTTTATTCCGAATCCGAACCGACTAGAATCCAATCAGACAAATTTACCCAAAGCAAAACCTGATCGAACCGGACAATCTCCCGGAAGATTGCATTCCCAAAGCCAAAATCTACAATTTATTTCCTTTTTACATTGGGGAAAAATAAATAAGATTCGGAATGAGAGCAAGAGGAAGGAGATACATTACATTACATATAGGTGTAGTTAGCACTGCGAAAGCAACTGAGCTCAACGCAAGAAGGAAACAAAGGTATCTTGTGTCTCCTCCACTTCTTGTCCTCCGACCAGAGGATCGATGGTGTTTCTCAAACCTTCGAAATCTATGGGGGAACCAGCATTGGGCAGGACGAACCCGTTGATATAGTAGGTCGGTGTAGCAGAAACCCCTCTCGAAGTGCTATACTGCACAAAGAAAGACACTGGTATGAAGAATCGCGGCTGGAAACGAAGCCTTTAACCTCGGGGAAGAAGGGTTTAAGCTGTGTTGTATTATCGATATTCGCCCTGTCAATGTTTCATATGGAACAGGACATGGAAACTAGGCGATGGAACCTCGGGATGTGGCCTTCTATGGGCTTCAGTGACCGAGAGGGCGTATCTCGAAATTCCAATTCATGACAAGTGGAAGACTTTTAACGGTGTAAAGCGAAGAAAGGGAAGCGAGAAGGGTCACCTTGAAGGAAACCCTGGTGGCAAGATCAGATTTCTTGTCGATGAATCCAGATTTGAGGGCAGAGTGATACGAGTTTCCCAGTGTGAAAGTCCCAAGCTTGACTATCTCCTCCACAACTGCAGGTCTTGACATGAGTTGGGTTTGTGCATTGTAGAACAATGCCTGTCCGAGACAAATTTCAGAGAATCATAAACAAACAAATCAAAGATATTTAAGCCTTTATTACATTTGGTTTCGAAACCACAACGAAACAGAACCAGCAAAAGAGATTAGTATACACTCCTAGAACCCGGGAAAGAGGATGACTACAAGCAAATGGTTTTACTTTTACGCCTTAAGCCATGATGAGGACCAAGAAGATTATAGCAGTACCATTTAAGGCTGGTAAAAACAGCAGCTTGCAAATTAACGTTCTCAAACAAAAACCGAATTCACCAAAGGTTCATTTCTCGAAAGATCGAACTTTTTTCTCAGAAGATTTACACCAACCGAACCTGATGCTTGAAGAACCCTTCCAGCAGTTTGAAAGTGGCATTGGCGTCCAAGGCATTCACAATGTGCAAGGCCCTCGAAGCTACGAATGCATTGTCATGGAAACTGCAAATTCAATTAAAACAAGAAATCAAAACCTCATTTCATGACTAAACACCTTCATCAACCACGCATGATTCAAACTTATAAACTAAAAACCATTAATCAGATTGAGAAACTCGAGAGATTTTGGGACTCAAAAATGAAGATCATATCAGAGTACCAAATCAGATTGAGAAGGAATCAAGCAAACGAACAACTAATTCTAAACCTATATAAGATTTTCAACCGCTTTCATTCCGAACCAGAATTTTCTCGCCAGTCAATCAGAAAACTGAAATCTAAAGGAAAATCACAGGAGAGAAATCGATTACTGACGGCAACGGGAGGAGGTGAACGACAATAGCAACGCGAGACCCGTAGTGATCAAGAGCCAATTTCAGGGGAGACCAGGCGTCTCTGCTGTCGGGACAAACCGGGTCGAAAAACACCTCGATCAGTATCGTCTCCGGGTCGACAACCCGACCCGGTGGGTACACAAATCCGTCGCGCTTCGCCGGCGGCAACACCTGCGCCCGTACGTCCGGGCAACAGAAACCGGCGACGAGGAGGAACAGCAAAGCCCTTCGAATCATTCTCTCTTCCCCTCTCTCTGGATTGATCGACTCAGCGAAGGAAGAGATTAATAGATTCAAAGATCGAAGAAGGTGCAAGCAACGGCCAGGATTGCTCGCACGCTAAGCAACATTCGCTCTCTTAATCTCCGCTGTTGATGCTGTCAGTGCTGACGTGGCAGAATCGGCTCGTGATGATCTTTTGGTTTTTTTTTCCTCGTGATGAATATATGATGGTGTCTATCCACTCGCTCACTCGATGCCAAAAGGACCAAAACATTCTTTCCGAAATCAGACACTCGCAGAGTGTCGGAATCTATCAAAAGATGGAAACTTCACGACAAAAAATACATACAAAGTGTATCTATATATATATTTCACAAAAAAAATTGTTCAAATTCATTTTCACAACCTCCGGAAAAAAAACACAAACCCGAACCAATCGAATGAAAGAATATAGCCCGAAAAAGAAACCTGGAACATCATCTGATGATCATTGATTGAAGCTCAAAGAAAGACCATGTCATGTCATGAAAGAGCCTTACCTAATCAGATGGTGCATGTATGCATGCTTAGTGCTTAGACTTTGTACTCCCCAGCACGCATCCATTTTGTAGATGACCATTTGTTTCCTTTAATCACAGGGCAACCGCCTACCAGCATCATAAAAAAAAGGTATATGAGCAAAGGTTGCGTTACACAATCCACGATCTTCAAACTTGCAACCTGATCTACGAAGAAGAACGATGGATGCGTAGTAACCAACCGTGCAAGCTTGAAGGATCCAGTGAAGCGTCGGGTCTCATGCTCCAGAAGAGCAAGGCATCGCCCATTTTCGGTTTCACAGAGAGTCCCTTTTTTCCACACTCGGACAGCTCGTTATACCACGGGACAGAAGTATAGTTCATATTGGCCGCAGGAAATACTGTTTCACCTCCTTCTTCAACATCCGACCTGTAACATAGGAAGAGAGAAAGAAGAAAGGTGGGGGATTGTGTCGAGAAAGAAGACATAATCGATAATGTTGAAACATTATCAATTACAGACAGAGACAGGAAAAGAAGAAATTCTTACAGATACATAAGCATGGTGGCCATCCGTTGCCCTCCATTCTTAGTGTTGAACTCATCGACAAAGTAATCGTAGTGAGGTTCATACTTTTGCCCCTCTTCATAGTGAAGAACTTGAAGCCCTTCTCCATTTTCTGCAAATCCCACAAGAATCTTGAGCAACATGCAATTCAAAAAGACTTCAGACCAAACAAAAATGTCAAAAGTACAAAAATTTCAACACGCTTTGATGTGGAAAACAAACTTCATTATTCATCACGGAGAGGAAGACCTTGCGATCATTCTGGCGTCAAAGGAAAGCATAATCGATACATATAACCAAAAGATATCTATGCAAATGCACAGCCACAATGTTGCTTATATAGTTTCCGAGCTATCAAATCTGATCAAAACTGTTGACAACGATACGCAAAATAAACCTCGACGAAATCAAAAGAACATCTGACACAGTGATTCCAATGCTCACATACCTACAGGAATAAAAGTGTAGTCAGCTATTCTTTTCTCGATGTCCCTGATGATTTTATCCTTTCCTCTCCTAAGGAAAGTGCCGGAGCTTGTACGCACCCTGGACACGTATAATTTCACAAACCCGGTAACGTGTTTTCTTTCCAACACATGAAATGAAACGCCTATCTAGAAAGAAAACCAGACCTGCTGTCTTTGCTCTTGCCTGTCTTGCTGTCTACAACAGATGACTTTACCATACGAGGCTTGGCGAGATCGATTAAATACTCACATTCTTCCTTGGACTGATCGACATTGATAAACCTTGGTTAGCATGAATATAGAGAATGTTACTAGCATCAATATTGTCACTATCATCAATATCGATATCATCAACAACAAAAAAAGAAACTTCTCTATCATCCTATAGTCCTAAGTTACTTCTGGCTTTCGGGTTTGAAATCGCATCAAACGCATATTAACAGAATCATTGTTGGCATAACACAATTCGGACAAAGACCTTTCAATGTCGGAATACGATTCATAGAACAGCAGACAACCAAATTCCCTAGCACTGGAGAGCTTGTTAAATGAGAAACTTTCCAAAATTTATGAACTAATCAACGGACAAGAAAGTAACTTCAACAGAGAAAACTAAGAACCAAGAACAAGATTAAGAATGCCAACCAGGAAATTATGGTAGACAAAAGCCCTAGGTTCCCAAGAAAGCACTTCCGTGTATTGTTCTCCTCTCTTCTCAATCCCCTCGCCTCTGCAGGAAGAGGGGGGGAAAACCCACAACTTGTAATGAAAGAAAAAAATCATGCACAGATCAAATATTCGCCATAGCCAATCACCTCTCCGCAGCCATTCGCCTGTACGAGGTAGAAAGATAGATCGAAGAAGACTCATCGTCGTTTACCGGGAGAGAGAAAATGCCCAGAGCCAAAAGCATTAAGAGGACAACACTTAGCATGAAGAGCATCGACAGAACTAGCATCGACGTCGACAATTTCCTGGCGCGTAAGCGCGAGGGTCTCGTCTTCGCCATCGCCGGAGTTTCCACCGGAAAATCAAAGATCCGAAGAATAATCGGTCAGATCTGGATCGGTGATCCGAATCCCAAAACCCTGATAACGAAGGTCCGAGGACTTGTGTTCCTAGTGATGTCAATGTCAAAATGAGCTAGCCGGGCAGCTCGAGGTTGGCTCGGTTTTTAGCCAGCTGGGCCGAAAAATAAAAGACCAAATAAAAACGGTTTAAATGAGCCAGTTCGCGACGAGCCCGAACCTATCCGAGCTAGCTCGGTGGGTGGGGGAGCCGGCTCGCGAGTTGACATTAAAAAAAATATTAAGGTTTTATATTTTAATTTCTTCACTTCTTCTCTTTATATAGCAAATTAAAATTCATGATATATTGATGTTCGTGTATATTTTTTGTTATATTTTGATGTTGTTATGTTGATGTTGATGTATATTTTTTGTTATATTTTGATATTGTTGTTGTATTACACTTTTTTATATTGGTTTGGTTTTGTTAATTTTTCTTGATTTAGATATAGTTTTATGGATGGTTATGTTAAATATTTTATGTTATATTGTATGACTTCAAAATATTGTTATGTAGATTTTAAATGATTAATTTTCATGTAATTTTAAAAAAAATCGAATAATTAGATAAAAATGGACTGGCTCGCGAGTCGGCTTGGAGCTCGAACAATTTGGTCTGGGTCAGAATTTTTCTAACTCGTAAAAAAACGGGTCGAACGGGCTGAACCAAAAATGAACTGGTTCGAGACGAGCCGGTCCGGACCGGTCCGAGCCAGCCCGTTTTACGTCACTTTGTCCCAAACTTTCCACTCCGATTGGATTCTCTTATTTGCAAATGCTTATTATATAGTTTTATTTTAATAATATAGGTGAAATTTTATAAGTCTGATACATCTTCCATTTTAGAAATCTTTAAATGTAAATTTTTTTAATGGAAAATGGGTTTATTTTTTCACGTAGAAATTGTAGATGTGTTATAATTTTTTTGAGTTTTGCTTAGTATTTAGTTCTATTTAATTGTTTTATAAACCTATTTTACTAAATTTTTTAATAACCGATAATATCTAGAAAACAAATTATTTTTTATTCAGTGAAATCTAAAAACGTATCCATTGTTTTAATTTTATTCGATTAACTTTTAAGATTATAATTAAAAGTTAAAAATTGTTAGTATTATACACAGTATTTTTCTCGATCCTAACTATTGTTTAATATTATATATAAGCTATTTTGTGAAATAATTTCAGAATGTTGTGCATTATTAGCTTTTCATTTTCTTGGGATTATCCTCGAAATTTTAATCTTTTTTTTTTCAAAGATTCGTATTCCATTCCTTTAAAATCACTACCCAACTGTATCAACTTTTACAAATATTTAATTTCATTCCTCGAAATTATAATCTTGAACTGTTACAAGGATTCTTATTCTACTCCTCGAAATTTTAATCTTCTTAAATATTTTCTCAACATGATAGATTTTGTCTTATATGAGATTCAGGCATATCTATAAATATTTAATTTCATTATATCTTTAAGCAAGGTAAACATGTGAATTATTAATTCGATTACTCTTTATATTTATTGAATATTTTTAGATACGTTTTTAGATTTCATTGAATAAAATATTCACCTGAATATCTGTACCTGATTATTAAAGATTTATTCAATTAAAGGTTTATCAAAACTAAAAATTGCAGTAAAACAATAACATTACTAAACTTGAAAAAAATAGAAAAACAAATGGCGTTATTAAACTAGTAACTAGCATAGTTTTTTTTTTTTGGGTAACCGGGTTTTCTGGGCCGAGGTCCAAACTAATCCCGATACCGAGAACCAGCCATATAGTTTGAATTACGCGTCTTTCCCAGTTTTATATTTTTGGATTGCGTAAAAATTATATTGATTTGATTTCTACATGGAGGAATTTTCTTGTTCGTTTAATCTTATATGCACTTCTCATCGAATCTTTTATTCTTTTAATTTAGTGTATGTGAGCTCTTACACGATCTTATTCTCTCAAGTATTAATTTGATTCAATTTTATATATTCTAACCAACATATTGATTTCTACCACCAAAAAAGATGTTGGTGCGTTGTAAAAATACCATTTTTTAATATTTTAAAACATTAGAGGTTTAGAATTATAAAAAAACTTTTTTTATGAACAATTATAAAAGATCTTGAATGAGAAAAGCTTGAAATACATACCACTAATCCACACTTATAATCTTATGATGGACACAGATGGATTAATTGATGCTCGTATCCTCAGCAAGCAATCTTGAACCGTAATTTTTTTTTACTGTAGTTGAAACTTTCTTGTGAACTGTTTCTAATATATACATCATCAATTAAACATTGTAAATCATAAAAAACCTATGCGCTACGATAATAAACAAAAAATATATGCACATTAATTTAAAACTTTGGATACCAATGCTTGATACGGTCGGTCTTGTTACTTGTCCGATCACTCGGAGAATACTTTCTTCCGTGACCTACGATCGTGTTCATCAAATTTTGGCAGTCCAAAGATCGGTCCGAACACCTTATCGATCGTTCTCTTTATGTTTCTGACGATCACGGATTGGATGAAATCAAAGCAATTGGTGTTCTCGCCATCGCCCTCGTGCTCATGTACATAAACTTCTTCCCAGTAAACGCGCCGAGAGCCTTCTCGACCAGGTAGAGGCTCTTTAACCTTCAAGAACCGTTGATTCCAACGCTTGCCGTCGTAAGGAGGAGTCGGGGTTCCATGCGGATAACGCAAGGAGACTAAGTTCTTTATAGACACTGCAGGAGACATGACGAAGAAGAAGAACTCGTTTTTCCTCGTTCGTTGTTTATGAGTTGGGACCGGTAGATGAAACAGAAGAAAAGGGTTAGCAACAAAATGGGGAGATTTAACATTGATTAAACGACCGTGGAATCATGGTCGGATTACGTTAAATGAGAATATCCTTTTTGTTGGGAGTTCTTATGACTTTTAGGGTTTATAATATGTGATGATAAGATTTGGAGATTTAGCATTTGAGGCGGAGACATCATATACGTTTCTAATTTCGTTTTTTGTTTTGTTGGGTTTAGTCATTAAGCTTATAACTTTTTAATTCAAATCTTATCTCAAAAATCTCATTTATTTTTGTATTCAAGAATTTCGAATGTTTTGTGGTTCTTAGTTCAAAGTCATTAGCTAGAAATTGGTTTGAGATCGAGATAACGAATCTAACCCTAGTGCCGATAAGATTTGTATTGTTTAATTAAATTAATTATATATAAAAAAAATAATATTGATTTTATTTATATGCATCCAATAAAATTGAGTTAATATTTATTTTTTTCCTTTTTCATCCAATTGTTAGTATTCTGATATCTATTTTTTTTATATATACTCTCATTGGTATGAAATAGAATCATTAACCGGTTTATAAAAAATCAATGAGAGCAACACTTTTTGACTTTATTAGTTTAGAAAGAATATTCATATGGACTTTTTCGTTATCCCATCTCCTCGCGCAAAAGATTAAAAATACCAAGATTTCTAACTTTATTCTATAAACTGTACGACATTTATATTATGTTGGACGTTTACAAGTTTTATAATATTTAGTGACAGTGTATAACATAATAACTTTATATGGAATTTTCCTTTTTTTTTTAAAAAAATAAGATTTTATTTTCCATCCATGGTGGCCTAGAAAGAGCGAAACTTATTATCTGGAAATTAGATAATTTCGAGAAAAAAAAAGAAATGTGGAGATTTTTTGGAGGATTTAATTTCCGTTCAAATTAATCTCGATTAACAGCAAAGGCGCATCATTAACGAAAATTAGATTACATTAAAAAAGGGTTACACTGATCACCGTTATTTATTTCCAAAACAACCAAAAAAGAAAAGAAAAAAACTTGAGGGGCAAAAACGAAAATTATGAAAAGATAAGGGAGCGAAACATAAGAAGAATCTAGCGGCGGCGATGTTTTACCTTTTTCAGGAACTAGTCGGCGGTGATGGGGGAGTCGCCGGTTTTCTGCAGAGAATCATATGCATCGGCGTGAAGATTCCCGTTTCACCTCCTCTGATCAAATAATTAACGGTTTCCACGAGCATCTTGTGAACATCGTCGGTTCCTTTCGGAGCTACTCCAATGGCGGAGAGGATCTTCACGACAATGTGGTTTCTCCAGTACGCGATCCGACCCATCTTCAGCCTTGTCCACCACGGGTTCTCCGGCGGCGCCGCCAAATCCTTCTCCTTCACGACCTCGAAACCCACTTTCCTCGCCGTCGCGGCGATGTCGGAGAAGCTCCTCAGACCAGGCAAGGCATCGCCCCTCTCGATCCCTTGTATGATCTCCACGTGCTCCGGAATCTCCGACACGAACTTGTCCGTCGTCACCCACTCGAACGACACGTACATCGAACCTGGCTTCAACACCCTGAAGATCTCGGCGTAGACCTCCTCGAGCTTGGGCGCGTGGCAAGTGGCCTCGATGGAGTACGCGCCGTCGAAGCTGTTGTCGGGAAACGGCATCTGGAGGAAGTTCCCGCAGAAAACCTCGCAGAGGCTGTCGAGACCCGCCTTCCTGTTGTGAAGGCGCGCCCTCTTCACCTGGTACTCGTTGATCGTGATTCCGACAACCTTAGCACGGGAATGAGCCGCGATGGCGCGCATCGGGCCTCCAACGCCGCAACCCACGTCGAGGATCTTGTGGCCGGGCTTGGCATCGATCAGACCTACAGTCTTCTCCTCGTGGAGACGCGTGGCCTCACGGTGGGATTTTCCGGGGATGGGGGGAGAGAAGTGGAAAGACTGTCCCCAACCCCACTCGTAGATGTCGGTGACGAGGTTGTAGAACGTGTCGACGAAGTCGGGGACCTTTTCGGTGGTCTTGATCTCCTTTGGTCGGCGGAAGAAGGACCAGTAGTTGTTGTAGTTGTCTCGGACCTTCTCGGCGGAGATGGAGCCGCCGGAGAGCTCAACGGCGGATTTCCCCTTTTGATCCGCCGGACCCAGCAGGCACAGGAACCAGTAGAGACCGCCGGCGATCAGAGCGCCGGTGAAGAACAATGCCGCAGAGTCCATTGCAGAGAGAGAGACGAGACGTTTCACCTTCGCCTCTGTACTCGTGCCTTTGTTATGGTGATTCAGTGGCTTTTATTCTTGAATATATATTGATAAAAAAAATCTAAATTAGTGAAAAATGTATGGATTATTTTATTAGAATTAAAGGAATGAAATGAAAATATAGTCAAAAGAACACTTTGGTCAAGGATATCTTTCCTACTAAACTATGTTCTTTTTGGATAAGATATCCAAAATATTTATAACTAGTATTAATTTATTATCTAAGAGATTTTAGTTTTTAAAAATATATTCGAAAAAAATCTCCCATTTTTTTTTATATCTCTTTTCTATCAGATTTCTTTTCTTTTTCTACTGTCTTGCAAATTACCACGTCAATAAGTTTTGGCATTGAAGATATTTAGTTTCATATATGATATATTTTTCTATCAGTATTTTATTTGATGAAAAACGCCAAGTGCCTAATGTGCATCCTCACCATATAATATAATTATTGATACAAAAGATTTGTGAGCTCATTAATTTTCATACTCGAGAAGTATCCTACAAAAATATCTAATTATAGTATTTAATCATTAGTAGTACGATCTTTACAAAGCTGTGGACTGTCCGAGAGGGTCCTCTATGACACGTAATTCCAATTTAAATATATGTTGAAGACCAAATATTAACGTTGGGTGTTGATTGAAATATATTGTACAAATTCATTGCTTGACACAATTGGTAAGAAATAATTGACCAAAATATCTATAGACCAAATTACCAAAAAAAAATATATCTATAAATCAAAACTGCAGTGTACTCATTTGGGCCAAATTTTTTGTATGAAATTAAAAATGATCCATGGACTTATTTGGGCCAAATTTACATATAACTTTCTCGGCCTAATCAGTTGGAAATTTAATTTAAAAAACGTGTAATTTAAAAATGACCCATTTGCCCATGTTGTCATAAAAATTAAATAAAAAGATAAATCTTCAACTTTCAGCTGTACAAATGAACCTCAGTTTCCCATCACATTTTGCGTTCAGAATATGACAAATTTTTTATTTTTATTACTAGTAATTCAATGGTTTTGTTGATTATTAGCCAATATTGTTAGTCCGATTCACTTCGTTAATTTTGACATTGTGGACCGTCGGTTTATTTTCATTTGCAAAAATCCATTCTATTTCTCCCTTCTCTGTTTTCAACACACAAATAATTCTAAACACATCATTATCGATAAAATCTCAAAACCAAACGGGGTTCATAGAGATGGATATAGATATGACTCATTTGATGCAAATTACAGATTTGCCACTCAGTTGACGGTGACTTTCCCGACCATACCCGCACCCTGATGCGGCGAACAGTAGAAGCTGTAAGTTCCCGGCTCCGTCAAGGCAACCTCGTACGTCTCTCCGGGACCGTTCAACAGATCTTGCTCGTCCATCGAGATCTTGCTCGCGTCCACTCCGCTCGGTATCTCGTCCTCGTCGAACACCACGTTGTGCGGGAACCCAGCATTGTTCTTGAACACGATCTTCTCCCCTTTCGCCACGCTGAAATCGTTCGGGACGAACGCCAACGACCCATCTCCTCCTCCGAGCAGAACTTCGATCGCCATGGCGTTCCCGGCGAGGGCGACAGAGGCTGCGACGGCGACTGCGGCCACTCCGACGTCTTTCAGGGAGGCTCTCACGGAGAGCTTCGGTGTCCTGACGCCGGCGGATACGGTCACCGTCGTGGGTTTTGCGGCGGAGACGGAGTTTGCTTTCAGGCCGGTGAAGGATGGGATCGCAATGGCGGCTGAGGTGACTGTGGCCATTTTTGTGTGTGCAAAGTTTCGATCTTTGTCTTCAAGAAGATGAGTGAATATGGTTTACAGAGATATATAGATAAAGATGGGATTTTTAAGGGAATGGAATTGTGAGGTTCATAAGTTTATGTGGTGGGAAAGTGATATGGCAATGGATGACTATCGAGTGAATGTGAGTGTTATCCTTGGAGGAATGCTCTGATTGGTCGTGTTCGGATGTTGTTTTTGATGACGTGGCTTTATTGGGTTAGAGTTTTGTTGTGAGGTGGAGGAAATTTTGTGGACAAAGTTTGTGAATTTTTGTTGTAAGAAGATGAGTTTATGAGATGGATAAGATTTTTTTTGTTTTCAATTATAAAATAGAGATTCGATTTTCACCAAATAAAAAAATAATAGATGCTAGTGAAAGAAAGCTAATAAAATCATAAAATTAGAACACACAATAAGTTTTTGTGACAATTTCTGGTTTATATGAACATAGTTGGGTGGTTTGTTAAGGCACTGTCCAAAGCGGCCCATATTAAAAATGGGCCACGTTAAGAATAAGACCCAATAAGATTTAATGGGCCAAATTAAGACCCAATAAGCATTACAATGGGAAACACGAGACAAAGGCAATGAGCAATGAAGCTGTTGATGATTTAAAAAAAAAAGGAGACAACATCAAAATTACATAATATGGCTGCAACTACTGTTGTTGGTATACGAAAACTCCTCAAGAACACATAATAAAACTCAGTTCTGAATCTCAAGAACTTTCTCACCTGAAGTCATTTCACCAGAGGTTTCAGCATTGCCGTTCTTAGAGGCACTGGCTTGTTCCGAGCGTAGGTCGGGATAGTTCCTATAGTTCAACGAATGCAGCCAGAGAGCCACGGCCCCGTCCTTGCGTTCAGCCGAGGCGATATGAGTGTAAATGTACTTCATTTTGAACTCCTCGGCTTCTTCCGCGTACGCTTTCATGGAAACCTCCTCGTGACTGTCTTTCCATTTGTTGCTATAAGACGTGAAGAAGCATTCGTCGAGGTATAGCCCAACTTCGGGTGCCATTGGTACGTTGATATTCACATCCCTACAAGTATTTTTCAATGAGTAAAACAGATTGGTGAACAATAAAGCGGGTTTTGAACCAGAGAAAGGATAAACGTTTAGGAATGTTAGAAAACGTACTTCCGGAAAGCAGTCTGGATCAGTGACTCAGGAGCACAGTTCCTCATGATCGAAACAGCAAGCCCGATCATCTTCCGGATCTGATGAAGCATAAAGCTCTGACCCACGACTTCGCACTTCACAAAGTCGATGCCATCCACATTAACAATGGTGTTCGCATTGAATGACACAATGAATCGATGAGCAGCCGGGTCTTCAGCTTTCGTTCTCGTAGTGAAATTGTGGAAGTTATGTGATCCGATGTAATAATTTAGTATCCTGTTGAACCTTTCCTTTTCCTTCTCGCCATAAGAAAACTTGTTATTCAGCATGCCAATCTTCTCTTCATCGACCGAAGTACCCGATTCTTTCAGCGAACCCTCGTCTTGTATCGTATCAATATCGGGTCTTGGTTCTCTTTCCTCAACTTTTGATCCTGAACCCGAACCCGAACCCAAAACAGAATCCCTCTCTTCCTCAACTTCCACCGATTTTGCTTCAACTTTAGACCCCAAATCCGATTTTTCTTCGCCCTTGCTCCCAGCAGAGACATCAGTACTACCCAACATCTCAGAATTCAGATTGATGTCTCCATTAGGTATGTCAGAAACTAAAGTTTCATGCTTGACATCAGTTTTATCTGCAGATGAAGTGTTCGATGAATCGTCTGACTGAACTTTCGATGATTTCGCTTCAAAACCATTACTACTACCTTTCCCCATAACACCAACAACCTTACGACCTCTCTCCGAACACTCTAAACACTTGACAAATTCCTGTCCGGAACCCAAGCTAGCCATCACAGCCTCTCTGTCACGATGCGAGAATGGATCAAGTGCAAAAACCGGAATCAGATACACATACCTCCTCCGATCGCAGAACTTCTTGGCGTTAAACGACGGAGTCACACGCTTGTACCCAAATATCCGAATCTGACCAGGGAGAATCGAATTGAGTCGATCCACGAATCCTGATGGGTCGATGAAGAACCGACCCGACACGACCTGTCCGACCGCACTCACGCCCTTGTCGGTCCGAGCCGATCGAGCCCAGTCGTACTGCCTTGGCTTGCCCCTTTCGAGCTCGGGCACTCCACCGGCGTGGAAAAGCGCCTCCTCAAGCTCGCCTTCGATGGTTTTCGCGCCAGGATTCTTCTGCATGCCCTGATACCCAACACCGCAATACGCGAAGAATATAGCGATTTTCCGGCGTTTGTACTTGGGCTTCCTCGGCTCCGCCGCATTTCCGCCTTCGGCATCCAACGCCGGCGCCGGCACATCTGTTTCGTCGTCGGTGGTGGTGGTGGACATTTTGGGCTTTTTGGGCTCTGGTTCTCGATCGGGAGCCTCAGAAGGCGGCGATCTCTTGGATTCAGATTCAGATTCGTGATTCTCCATTGTCAGTGACGAGAGATCATCCAAATACAAGGCGCCATGTACAGCTTTTCCCAAGTGATTACGGCAAATGCCCTTCCCTTTCAATAAAACCCTAAACGACGGACGGAGTTTTATCTTTACGACGCCGTTTTATCGATTTAGGCCTGATCACTAAACTGGGCCGGGTTTAGAAATGGGTCGCTTCACTTTGTTATTTGATCCATACTTATAATACATCAAGAATCCTCAGAGCCCATTTTTTTTTTTAAAAAAAAAACTTAAAATCCATGAATTTTGATTGTAAAACAAAATAATTGGCAATTATTTTTAAATGATTAGCTAACACAACAACTAAAAATTTGATTTAACTATTTTGAAGGTTTTCTCCCCTTGAATTTGTAAGTTTTCATCATGGCTTGTAATATTTTTTTTTTATAGGTATAAGGTTAGATATTTCAGATTTCAGTTGAATTATTTTGTGCTTGGTATTTTATAAAATTTATATCTATTTGATTGTAATACCTAATTTTTAGTCGATTCAAATTAGTTTTTATTTAAAAAATCAAATTCAGCTAATTTTGATACAGTATCATTTATTGTTTCAATTATTTTGATATTTCAATTAATTTATTTTAAATAACAATATACAGTTCAATTTTTTTACCAAAATATAATTATAATTCACTTTATATTCCAGTACAGGACTAAATCATGAATAATGTCGTTTTCTCGTTTAGGAGAATATTAAAACTGACGGTTTATAAGAGGAGACTAGCTGAATAATGAAAGGAAAACGACTTTTCTTCATGTTTTTTTCTGCAAAGCACCACGGAATCAGTTCCGATGTTGTAATGACACATTGCATATATAGTTGGGCCCACATAGACATTTGCATATGTATTATAATGTTTTCATTTAACTATTTTCTAAAATAAAATATTTTCTTACAGTATTAGTGGCTTTTATGTAATTTTGATATTTGAAAAAAAAAATTGTTACAAGTGTCAACATCGTCAAATGAAATGATCAAAGTCTCTCTCCGTCTACATTGTTCTCCATGAAGAGCAAAGATAGAACGCGATCATGGAGGCTTCCCTCTCGATTGGGATTAGAAACCCTAAAAGATTTTTTTTTTTAAAAAAGGAAGGGGGCGAGATTCTCTTTTCGCAGAGATTCCCCACCGAAAAAAGCTTGGATTTCTCCTTTTTTTTCAAGGTATTGTATTCTGAAATTGGTTGTACCCAGAGACCGTGAATCGAATCATCCATTTTGCTTCTTCTTCTTCATTCTCGCATTTTTTGTTGTTTATTTCGTCTTGTGGACGAAAGTTTTTGACTTTTCGATTCTGATTCGATGGGGTTAACTGTTCGAACTTTTCTCCTTCCGTTTCCGTCTCTATTTATGCATCTATTCGTTATCGGACTTGGTTTAACATCGCACGACGAAGAAGTAGCTTCTCCGTTCGGTATTTCATTGTTTTTTTCTTACTTATTCGTATTTCTGAATCTTGGGTTCTTGTTTCATCATCTGGGTATGTGGAAATTTTCTGAAATATTGGTAGCCTTGATCAAGTTGGAATAATAAGAGCACACTTCTGAATGGGAGAGAAACCATAAAACATAATAACCAGTCACTGTTTCATTAGTTGCCTTTGAATCCTATGTTGTTGTTTGCTTTGATTCCTCCTCCAGTTCCCTAATCTGCCACTTTCATTCCTCGTTTGATCTTATAAGGTCCTGAGAAGGGGTTTCATTTTGGGCGCAGGATCTCTTGTTTGGCAGACCCTTGAGTGGACATGGGTTACTTTCACAATGTAAGTCCCTGGTCTTGGCTCCATTCCATTGTGGTATAGCCTTACACTCTTGTAGGTTTTGCTTGTCTTATGCCATGTTTCAATTGCAGATTTTTGGTGGCTGCCATGATCAAACTGATACCGGTATGCTCTTACAATATCCTCTGTTTTCTCTTTGTTTATGGGTTGGATGCCAGAGTGAGATTAAGCACAGTCTTATCTTGACACTGATCCCTTCAAATCCACTGCGTTAAATTATTCTGAACAGACGATATCAGCGTTTTGCTTGGCATTTATGGATTACATCCTTATGCTAGAACTAGCAGTATGCATTAAGGAGAGTCAGGGAATAGAATTGGATTAGACATTTTCCATTAGCTTTTATCTTGGCGGTAAAGCTGTTAACTTTCTGCTCGTAACTCTGATCGTCTTCCCTATATTAGGTGCTGTGATACGCGATGGAAGGGAAATCCTTTTCCAGGTACCACTCAAATTGAATTTAGGGTTTTAAGAATTAGTCTCTACTTCAAACTGTTGTTTGGAACACCATTTACTTCTATTGTCCTGGAGAAAAGCTCTTTACCATATGAGCTTCATTTACTGGTTTAATCTACAGTTTGACAAGAATTCTTTTCGGCTTTTTCTATAGGCTTTTAACTGGGAGTCTCATAAACATGATTGGTGGAGAAATTTGGACAGAAAAGTCTCTGACATTGCGAAATCTGGATTTACCTCTGTATGGTTGCCGCCACCATCTCAGTCCCTTGCATCGGAAGGTGGTGAATTAGTACTTCGTTCGCCGGTTTAATCTATAATTTTATTAAATCGGTAGCCATAGTTAAATCATTCCTATTGCAGGTTATCTTCCACAGGACCTTTATTCGCTCAACTCGGCTTATGGCTCTGAGCATCTGTTGAAATCTCTGCTTCATAAGATGAAACAGCACAAAGTTAGAGCTATGGCTGATATAGTCATCAACCATCGTGTCGGAACCACAACAGGGCATGGCGGAATGTATAATCGCTACGATGGGGTTTCGTTACCATGGGACGAGCGTGCTGTCACTTGTTGTACCGGTGGACTGGTGAGCAGATTCGAGTAGTGATATATTCTCGGCATATGCTAATGCCATGGAAAAGCTAAAAAATTGTTTTACTACCAGGGTAACCGAAGCACCGGGGAGAATTTCAATGGAGTTCCAAATATTGATCATACCCAAGAATTTGTTCGGAAAGATCTTATTGGATGGCTTCGTTGGCTGCGTAACACCGTTGGGTTTCAAGATTTCCGCTTTGACTTTGCTAGAGGGTAACGATAATACGATATCAGAGCCTGTAAACTCTGACTTACCAATCTTGTTAGTGTATGGAGAGGTTTAATCTACACTTGTTGATATTATGCTGCAGTTATTCAGCAAAGTATGTTAAGAACTATATAGAAGCAGCAAAACCGTTATTTTCGGTTGGTGAGTACTGGGATTCTTGCAAGTACAATGGCCATGGCTTGGACTACAATCAAGGTATGCAGCTTTTTATGTTCTTATGAATGTTTCCAATTCGATCTTTCCCCGTTTCATTTCTTTCCCTTTTACAAGAATGATTATGATTTCGTAATCCTCTGATTTTGCCACTGGGTCTGGATGAAATGTGGTTGAAATCAGACGAGCAGTGATCGGAATAATCCCTTTTTTTTTACCTTCTGACAAGTTTCCCTGATGTTTCTGAATTTTTTTTTTCAGATAGCCATAGACAGCGTATCGTCAACTGGATTGATGCCACGGGACAGCTTTCAGCAGCATTTGACTTCACAACCAAGGGAATTCTGCAGGTAACACATAATATCCTTAAAGCACACTTTTGTGGTTTCCGGTACATTCAGTTCTTTCCTTCTCATGTAAGAACAGATTCATTGGATATAGAACATTGGTTTCTCAACAGAGTTGTGTCCTAAACAAATTTCATGTTCTTACTTGTAACAGGAAGCTGTAAAGGGTCAGTTTTGGCGTTTACGTGATTCCCAAGGCAAGCCACCCGGCGTGATGGGATGGTGGCCTTCAAGGGCTGTGACCTTCCTTGATAACCATGACACTGGCTCTACTCAGGTAAAACCTATATATATACATATATATACACACACCCATGTGTAGTTTCCACATTGTGCATCACTTCTGTTGATCTTTCCGTGGAACTGGTTTAGGGGTTTGACCTGAGTTTGGTCGTCGGTCTTTTACGAACTGTTTCGTTCTTTGCAGGCTCACTGGCCATTCCCTTCACACCATATCATGGAGGTAAGTGAGGTTTTCGAAACCAGATATCATCAATTTCCATGCGAAACAATCCATAGCTTCGAATTGCATTAACTCTCTAACAAGGTTCCTGAATTCTGGTACCAAGAATCTTTCCATGTACTTCCGAGCTTCTTCTGCTGACGAAATCGCGATCTTTTTTTTTTCTCTCGTAGGGCTATGCTTACACACTCACTCACCCTGGAATTCCATCTGTGTTCTACGATCACTTCTACGACTGGGGTGACTCAATCCATGACCAGATTGTGAAACTGGTAATCTCCGAGCTCGCTTTAATCTTTTTTTGATTGTTATCTCCGGTTAAAACTCTATTTTCCCGATTTTATTCCCGCCATTGATGGCCGCCTCCATCTTTAGCTGTTAAGAATTATGGTTGCAGAATGTTCATGGCAAAAGGGTTTGACAGGGGTGGTATTGATTGTTTGAATAATATAGGGGCTGTACTGTGAATAATTGATAATATATAGTACATAACAAAAAATGATTATTTCTCCTCCCCGTGATTTTAATTTTTAACTTTTTTACATAAACTCCAGTCCCCAACTTCCTGTACGGTGAATAGCGTGATAATATTAGCGGATAGGACATAAAAGAAGTGGTTCCTTGGTTTTTACAATTTTCACATTAACCCCAACTTTCTGAAAATTTTCGAAAACAACCCCTGATTTCTTATTCGTTACAGATTGCCATCAGGAGGCATCAAGATATCAGCAGCAGATCGTCCATTCGGATTCTGGAAGCTCAGCCTAACCTTTACTCCGCCATTGTCGGGGAGAAACTCTGCATGAAACTGGGCGACGGCTCGTGGTGCCCTTCGGGGAAGGAGTGGAAGCTCGCGACAAGCGGCCACCGCTACGCCGTGTGGCACAAGTAAGAGTGGCTCTGCTATTTTCGCAGTGAAAAAAAAAAGCCAAGGATGGATTGTACGGTAAAACGATAAATAATCACCCGAATTCAAGTAGTATTTGTGAACAGATACTCTACGTATTCCGTATACTTGTATGGACAATAAATGAGTGATGCTTGTACAAATAAGATCGACTATGGTTTTTAAGAATCTAATTACCTCACTGCAGAGTTAATGTCTTCGTTCGTCGGTCTTGATTTATTTCTCTGTTTGTCAAGTATGACATCATCATGATGTCATGTTTTGTATATATGAACACTAGCGTACATATGTGTAAGAAGACAATAGTTTCATTTAATTATGATTATAAATTTAAAATTAATAATGTTTTAAAATTTTATATGAAATAGATTAAATAGATAACACTAATCCTAATGATATTGGAACATGCCATTTTAATATCTATTCCCTCTGTTTTAAAATATTTATAGTTTTAGATTATTTTCTATATTTCAAAATATTTGTAGTTTTATATCTTCAAGATATTTTTTTATAATAGTTTTTAATTTTATCCGTACCAAATTTCAATACATTATTAATGATAACATTGTTTTTATCATCAAATAAAGGTATATGTGATTTTTGATTCATTTTCTTAAAAAAATATGAAACGGAGGAAGTATTAATCTAGATGCGTCTATATATATATATGTAATGTTTTTGTGAACACATTAATCTTAGTTGACTATGTTACAAAAATTGCATTTCCACACAGTCAATGGAGTAAAAAAAAAAGGCATTAAATGATTCTAGGGTTTCATAAGGGTATTATGGTAAAAGACTTTTTTTCATTAAAGGCGAAAACTTTGAGAGGCAAAAGGAATAATTATAGCATAACAGCGAGGGATGAAAAAAAACACACATAAAACATAGGATAGTCCTTTTCACATTCATTGGAATGTCTTAAATGATTCTTGGGTACTGTGTAATACACCTAAAGATAGTACTTTAAATTAAATTGCGCATATTTATTATTTTTTTTGTTCCAATTAAAAAAAAATCTAAAACATTTTCTCTAGTTCGAACAAATACACAAAATCGTTTTAATATTACACTCAATTATGTAGTTACGTGGATAAATTACGTATCGAGTTGCAAGCAAAATTCCTCAAATATTTCATTCTATATGATTCATAATACACTATATATAGTTAACCGTTTTGTTGAAGGAAGGATGTACATGTAAATATATTGAATATCTGGTGCCAATAATTTATAATATAATTATATTTGACATCTGTATATATAATGGTTCCATTGGGAGTGGGGCACTAGGAGTATATTATTATAGAATTATGGTCATGGGACTTCATGATTCATGTCTTGAATTTTCATTACAATTGCCACATCTCATCACTTGACGTTCGACCAAACCCATCACTGTCTTTTCCTTCCTTTTTTTTTAATCTGCTTTGTTTTTTCCTTATTATTATTTTTTATCATTTTGTTCTATTTACCATTATTTGTATATATAATTTTCATTAATTTTTTATACCGACTTGATCCTTAAAACAGCTATTAAAAAAATATCGAAACTGCATCAAGAAGGAAATCGGGGTCAATCATGAGCACCTTCTCCGTCACGTGATATGTGCTGAACTAAAGATCTTTTGTTCGTAGACATAGAAGCTCGTGAAGATCTTTAGATCATATCCACCTTTAATCTCAAATTTAGAGATGATTTATATATTATTTATGATATTCAAAATTCCATGAAAAAAGTTATAATATTGTCCATTTAAATTGATTTGATAAGCATAAGAGTATTGTGTTATAACTAATTTACAATGTATTCTAGTTTTTTTTTTTGCATAGTAACGTTTTGCACACATAATAAATCACAGAAAAAGTAAATCTCAAATAGAAATGGTTCCGAAATTACGAAAGTATATAAAAAATGAATTCGCAAAGACAGAAATAAATATGAATAACATAGAAAATATAGTAGTATAAACTCTTATAACTAATAGTAAATTTCATGAAAATTATGTACAATTAATTACATTGAATGATGATGACCATATGGAGAGAGAGAGAGAGAGAGAGAGAGAGAGAGAGAGAGAGAGAGAGAGCTGTATGTTGTCCGCATGCAAAAGAAAAAGGCGGAAGGAGGAAACAAAATTCGTCACAAAAACATGATTACGGGTTTGCCCTAATGCTATTATCACCAACAAACCAAATCAAACCTAAATTAATTATTATTCTAGCCACTAATTAATTTCACTTACACTAATTTCCCATTATACCCTTCGGTGTGACCAAATAGTTCTCAACATAAGAAACCATAGTATATACATATATATATGATCTCAATTTGAGACAGAATAATTAGGAGTGAATATTTGAGGTTTAGGTTTAATTATTTATGTTTCGAATATTTTTTATTAGAAATAGTTGTGTCTACTTGGTTTCTGCAATCATTCGTTTCGACTTCTATTCAAGTTTTATTTTTATCTTTATCAAGAAGAATCTTATTTTTTTTTAAAAGAGTTTGGTTTTATTCAATGTAAAATTCGATTTGAATGTACTTACATTTTATTTAAATCATTTTGGTTTGGTTATTTGTATCTAACCAAAATAATTTCAAACTTCAAAAAAAGGATCGGAATGAAAAAGTAAATGGAACCAAATTTAAAACATTTCTTTCAATAAGCAATCAGTTCACATAAATTCGGATTTAATATTTTTATAACTTTTGATTTCGGATGATTATTATTATTGCTAGCTTTCTCGAGAATATATGTCCGCGCAACGCAAATTATAATATCACGTGTCGTTTTCATAGCTATCTAACTATATCTCATAAATTATATTTAATCAGCCGTTGGTTATAAAGGGAAATTACCATGAACTGTACTTTATTTCAAAAACGCACTAAATCGCGAATATCTAATGCATTCACTTTTATTTATTTATTTATTTAATATTTGATTTTGATGCATTATGGTTTCTGAAATTTTCTGATACGGCAGAAACAGAGCACAAACATCTGTATGGACCGTTGGTATTTCTTTTCTGGATAAAGGCGAGCCTTGCAATTATAATACTTCACCAACTATCTCTGCGTTTTTTTTTTTCATTTTTTATTTGTAAACTCTACATGAAAAGTATTTATACGAAACTTGTTATTTGAAATGTTTTATAACAAAAGGAAAGGCAAAGCGTCGTGGCAATATTAATCATTTATTATTTTTACTTAGTTTGACAAAGTCACGTTGACAAAAAAAAGGACAATTACCAGATGTAAAGTATATAATTTAGGGTAAAACCCCTAAAAAACCTCTAACTTGCAAAAATATATACAAATAAACTTTCAACTTGAAAAACTATCATTTCAATCACCGAATTTATAACTTGTCACTGAATAAAACATCGAACTTGTAAATTATTGTTCTAATAAACCTTTGACCGGTTTGACCACAATTTCAGGTGATCGGAAATCCACGTATTAACGGATTGTTGATGTCATCTTATACACGTTATCAATTTTAATTTAAAAAATGATATCAACAATTCGTCAATACGTGGATTTCCAATCGTTTGAAATTGTGGTCAAACCGGTCAAAGGTTTATTAGAACAATAATTTACAAGTTCGAGGTTTTATTCAGTGACAAGTTATAAATTCGGTGATTGAATGACAGTTTTTCAAATTGAAGGTTTATTTGTATATATTTTTGTAAGTCAGAGGTTTTTTAGGGGTTTTACCCTATAATTTATAAAGATTATATTAGAGCAATGTGTTGTGTGTGTGTATAAATGGAAATCTGGGTTTCAGAATGTAATTAAACTATTATTTGAAATAAAATCTAATGAATAAAAAAAAATTATATTAAGGACATTAACCTCCAAAGTCCAAACCATGCATGCATGCATGCGTCGGCTTCAAAGACAACACAAAACCATCAAAATATTATTAACATCGATTAATGAAAGAATATGACTCCGACGGACGAGCTTCCAAGCTCAGATATCGAAACCCTAGATCTCAGCAATGTGAATTCCTCGACACAATGTATATGCCCGGCCCGTCCTCTTTTTTTTTTTTGGTGAAAACTCTCTAACTCACGTGTAATTAAGATTTTTGTTGTAAGTTTCATATTCGCCTGTAATCTCCTAATATCAGTAAAATATTTATTTTACACATTGTTAGAATTCTGAAACGACCAATATTAAAATAATCGCGTAAATCCTGTGTGTGCATGTTTTTGAGGGGAAAATAAATTCGATTCCAAGGCTAAAAAAACACATGCAACCCACTTTGACCATAATCTTAATTTTTTTATTCGATAACTTATGTGACGAACACAAATATATTAACTCCGAAACTTAGTAGAAGTATAAAATATGCTTGAATATATATATCACAAAATTGAATATGGTAGCAATATCCCGAACACGTGCAAAATGCACATGCACATGCACATAATTTCTCCGAATCTAAGGCATATTAAATATTAAACTGAAACGAGGGTTTTTAATTGTTTTGGCAAGACGAAATATGAATATTTGGACAATATTTAAAGTAAAGAAAAAAGGATGTCCTAAAGATGGCGAAGCAAAATGAAAGGGCATTTTCTAAAAGGGAAACAAAATGATCGATAGAAAAAAGTTGCACGATCCGCAGGAAACTTTTTCCCATCGGTTTCACGTCTTCTAAGATATTTTCTTAATTCATAGCATTTTTTCCTTCTCGGATTTATATAAAAAGAATTTGACTCGAATGATATATAATTAATTAAATAAAATGAATCAAATTGAAACTAATTTAAAATTAAATATATAAATGAAAGCGAAAATTATTTTAGGATATTAATAAATGTCTAATGAAAACTATGTGAAACAAATCCACAAATGACTATAATTTTTAATTTTTTTTTAAAAAAATCTGTATGAAACAAATCCCCAAATGTTTAACCCTAGTTATCACTAAAATGTTGAGTTTTGGGGACGAAAGATTCATCGAGCTAAATGGCCGATGGAGATGAAACCCCAAACAATGTTCGTTTATTTCATTTGGATTAAAAACACTTGTTTGAAAAAATTGATGACGTGGATTAGGGTTTATCAGTCTATCCATTTTCGGGAAATAGCGATTTTCAATTTGTGAATGCATCGTCGAATAAGATACAGTATTTCTTTGCATATCATTGATTAGAGATGTGTTTTGTGTTCCAAAATCG